ACACCTAACGAATTCTGCTTCTGAGTTTGTCAACTCAGCATCAATTTTGTAGAGTCCACAAGGAGCAAGTTGTCTGAAACATTAAAAAATTACAGAGCATTTTTGACAACAACCTGTCAGTAGTTCATATTCTTATTTTGACTGAACTTTAACAAATATGTTACTGTAGTTATTTTTATATACAGCTATCTTGTTTCTGCTGCTGCACTGCTGATGTCCTCAGCCGAGGTGATGATCCTTCATTGCGTGTTTCGACTCCTAGCTCGGTACACTCAAGATGGGGGTCCACAGTAGTGATCAGTAAATGCGTATTGACAGTGGGTTTACTCAGTAAAGTTGATGATAAACAACTTGCTATGACATGTTAATGTTAACAAGAAAGCTGCTAACTTTAACAATAAGGTAATGTTCCTATATTGATGATTAAACTTGATTTCTGCAACGGATCTCCGGAATATTCCTGATTTTATTAACTTAACGACATGCATTTTAACGAAGATGTTTTGTTGAATGATGAATAATAAGTGGTCTGGATTATGCAGAACCCTGGAGTCTATTTCATGTGTCAAAACAGAAAGCAGGATTCATTATTAGTTTAATATGGTGGGACGTCAATACTGTGAAATACTAATAACTTAACGTTAATTTCCATGTTGACGCTAGACAAATACGATAATATCGCAATGAAAATAATCAGCCGTCTGGCAAGCTATTGTCACTGACGTCGTGTCATTGTCATTGATTTTAGGCTGTCACTGATATTGGCAGTTAGAATTGTCACTTGACAATAGAGAGGCTGACAGTTTGTGGTTAATTTGTTTCCACAAGTTTTTATTGTAAAGTTGGACTTTTCATGTTTTCTGTGACATTTTCATGTTGAAGTTGAAGTTTGTGGTTTTTATTATATTTTAATGATATTGTGTTCCGTTCGTTCTCATCAGTATTTACTATGGATTTTTAATGATCAAGTTTTCTATGACGTCGTAGATCTTGATGTTGAAGTTGTGTGGTTTTGTAAATGTCTAATTTTAAAACACTGTGCCTCAAGTTAAATATTATTTTGATCTAACATAGCCTACAGTTCGTGAAGTTTGATAAGTGCATTATTGCTGAATATTATTGACAGGGTATGATAAAATATTTTGTGTGATATTCCTCTTTGTTTTAAAGAATGACAATAATGTTAAATGATAAGTTGTAATTTTACCAGCAGATGGTATTAGATGTAACTACAGGTGATTGTGAGTTAGGCTGAATATTTCATCAAGGAACAGACAGATTGTAAGAAAAGCTGTATTATATAATAAACAAAGATAAACTTTATAATAAACCATGTGTTAAGAGGAGAATGAATGGACTAATTATCACGACTTGATTAAAAATTACCTGACCGTTTTAACTGACAGATGTTGATCACTAGGTTGATTATTATTGATTTAAATCAATCACTGATTGGTTATAGAACACTATTGAACTGTTAATTGATTTCTCAGAGATATCAGACTTGTTAAAAACAATTCACATACCAAATTAAAGTTTATCATTTGGAAGTATAAATTTGAAATTGATCAGATATATAGTTTGCGATATCAGCATCCGCTGGAAGCGAATGTTAACTTGTCATCTACCAACTGATATATATATATATGTTAATTTAAGTCTAACTGACCATTGTTGTGGATACTTTGTAAAATTTAGGATTGGGAGCCTGCAAGGTGACTCTTAGATAGACTTGTCTTAGTGAATGATTGTGTTAAAAGATCAAGGAAGGAAGAGTTACTGTAGTTGGATGTAAAACTCTGTTATATTTAAAAACAGTAAGGTGTAAAACATCAGAAAGTAAAACACTAACCTAATGGTGAATGTTTGGTTCAGTAAGACTATCTAATTTTATTTTATGCATTAAAACAAGTCCTCAGAGAATAGTTTCATATTTCAATTGTATTGAATAATTTGGTTGAAAGGCAGTGGAAAACATTGTAACAGTGTTATAGAGTGAGTAAAAGTGTTGTACATTGTGTAACAGTGTTGTACCTGATATAAACAGTAATTTAAAGACTAATGTTGTAGTTGTACCATTAACTGACCGTATCAAGAATTCAGCAGGGATTAATAATTAGTAGAGAATTGCCTTCTAGACCAGTTCAACTACAATACAATCTTCTTTCTCCCCCTGGATAAATCAATAATCTGAAAGGCTTGAACGACTTCTATTATCCAGTATTTATTTTAAATACGAGTATCGATGTATGGGTTTCAACAATCAAACGGTTCATATCCACCAGTGGTAAGACCTTGACTTTTTCTCTTCAATTTTTTGACAGATTTTCAATTTTTACTTCCATATTTAATAAGTTGTTTCCATTGACAATTGTTTTTAATTAGACATCTTCAAGTTGTTGAAATGATTTGGAAATAGAGTTATTTCATTTGGATTATGAGAATTTGATTTTTTATTATCTCAAGTGGTATATTGAGTACTGTTGGAATTTCAATAATTATGGATTTCTAGTCAGGTAAAAGATAAAACGATAACATAGCAATAGTTAGATTCTTAAAAATAGTCATGAATAATGAAGGCCAAGTAAGTAGACCTTGCTAAAAATCCATTTTATTTTACTAGTCTTGTAAGACACTAATTTCATTAGAGTTTACTAGACGGATTGTTGAATGGTGTGATTTGGTCGTCTGCCATTGTCCCTGGCTGTCTGTTGGTATTTTTATTTAGTTCTGATCTTTCTATGATCGATGAGTTTTTGGTGTTCTACTACTTTTTGTAACAATTCTGACGAAATCTATGTCATTATGAAGAATTTCTATTTAATTTTAAGACTGCATTGATTCTAAATAAGTTTTCTAGCCAGTGTATATGTACCGAGGACTGTTTCTATTGACAACATTCTCATTTATTGTCTTGATGTCTGTAGTTCCAGTAATCCAAGAAAATCTTGACAGGTATAAATCAAACCACTATTTGACCTGAATGATATTTACCATGGCGATGTCACTATCTGGTCAAGTTTCAGACTGGATTCAGACATCAAAAAATAATGTAGTAAAATAATCTCAGACATCAAGAATCGAATCATAGCATCTATAATTCTACCAGATATAAGCTTAGCACAGATGGTTAAATATTTGTGATTTACAAATACAAAAAAAAAACCTTGAAAAATTCAACTTTATTAAAGTTATACGAAAAAAATTAAATCCTGTCACTCTAGAAATGATGTTAATCCTAATTCTGAAAGTGGACAATGCTTCAAGCTTTTCTATTCATTAAGATTAATCTTATCTCTTTAGAAATGTTTTCACCTGGTTCTGAAGGTTGAAGCCTTAAAGTGATTGATTTGTGTTTATCTTGAATTGATATCTGTTAAAGCTGACTGATCCACCTTAAATTATTGTTACCAGTTTCTGAAAGGGGACACAAGGCTTAAAGCATTCTTATGATATGAACTAATCATTTGTTAATATTAGGCTTCTTGAAGTTGTGATTCGATACACATCCAATGATATGATTCATTGCGATAATTATCACGATTCATTTATAACAGAAGGAAAGAGAAAAAATAGTAGAAATTTGTAAAAATACTATCAATTCTGTCACTATTAAGCACTTGAGAACATTTAAAAGTAAGGAATTGTAAAAAAAATCTCAATTTTTGAAGTCAGGGCTAAGTATTAATTGTGCTGATAAGCTTACATCACGATTATTTTTATCCAACGCAATACATCGATAAGAAGGAAAGAATCACGGTTCATCGGTCAATCGTTGCAACCCTTGTTAATATTTTAATGCTAATCTCTAATGTTGTGATCCGATTTTAAAAGTGGACAGGGACTTATCGCATTTTAATTAGTCAGTCAAGTTATTTATTTGTTTTTATTATAATTAGAGATCAATGAGGTTTCTGATCTCTCTAAAAATATAATTACTCAATTCAATAAGCTCACTGATCCTCCTGAAAGTGGACAAAGCTTTAAGCTTTTTAAAAGTCAGATTATTTATTTGTTTTTATTTGAAATTAAGGTATGTGGGATAACGTTTTGTCATCATTGTGTGTACGTTGTTTTTAGTTTCATTTATACTCCTATACTCCTTACTTAGTTTGTTATTGATTAATATCAAGTTGGTCGTGTCAGAACAGAGCTGGTCGTCATCGCCATTTTATTATTGATTCTTCTACTAGCTGTCAATTTAGACTTATTTCTACGTTCAGAACTTCAAGGTAGGCTGATATCTATATTCATATTATCATCAGGAGTTTTAAAGGTCTTGATTATTAATTTTTAAAGTATTTGTCTAAAATTTGTTTAGTGATATCAAGGTTTGAACCTGACATATGTTGGTGAATGTAACATACTCAAACTAAATTCTGACTGTCTATTTGACCTATTAAATTGGATATTAATTTCTTGTTTTTGGAGTTTTAGAGATAATTAGCTATAATGAGGGTAGTAATAGAGGTTAATACAAGAATTGTTGTACAGGATTTCATTTGTTATTTGATAGGCGTGTTAAACCCCTTATTATACAGTTCCTTATTAGCTAGAACCAAGGTCATCTATTGGGATATCTAGTGGTATTATATCTTATTTAGGGTAGTATAACCCATTTGCTTTTTACAAGAAATCTCAAAATAAAATTGTTTATTATAATAAAAATTAGACAAGGCATTAAAGATAGACAAGGTCTGTACTGAAAGCACTTATAAGATCAAGGTCACCTATAGGTTGATTAAGTGGAGTTAGTTCTTATTTATCAGTAGTATAACAATATTTTTTACAAGAAATCTGAAAATATGTTTATCATTAATATTAGACAAGATCAGTAGGGACGGGAAAGGTCTGTATTGAAGAAACGTAATATATTATAATTGATTGAGAATTTCCTCCATATTGTCTGTTGATACGGTAGATTCAGTAGCCATTTTGTTTCAGTATTGATCAATTTGAGTTGTGGGAGTTAGACGGATGAAGATGCTTTAAGAATCAAAATGGTGGGATCTGTTTATTTTTGTTCAATGTTTTTCTGCCAAATATGATGCTAGGAATCGAATTCTAAGGTTTTTGTTGTGGTTTGTTTGCTGATGTGGAATTACTTATATTGTTATTGTTGTTATGATTTTGAATCTTTAGGATTTTTTGCCAATTTGTAGATTGGATTTTGAATTCTTAGAGAATTTTTTTGTGAATTTTCTCCTTGGATTTTGCATACTTCAGATATCTAAAATATAAGATTTGTTGTAGGATGTGATACTTAAAATATAGATATCTGCAAATTTGTCTTTAGGACTTGCAATTCTAACAATTTGTGTGAATTTATTGACTTTGTTTTTATTTTTGCATTCTGAGAATATCATACAATCTGTTGTTTTATTTTGATGAATTCTATTTTGTTTAGCAACTTTGTTATGATTTTGCTTTTATAGAATTTTGTGTTGAATCTATAGATTGTGTATCATTTCATCCATATTTTAATCCTGTTAATGTTATTACTCAGAGTTTCATGCTGTGTGATCTTCAGACAACTAAAACAGAACCTGAAACATGTTGTTACTCAAGGTTTCAAGCTATGTAATTTTCAGACAACTGATCTGGTGTCTGAAAGTCACACAGTGTGAAACTCTGAGTAACAACATGTTTCAGGTTCTGTTTTTGTATTAATATATTAATATGTAATTGATGTATTGAGCAATATTTTAAAGAGACAGGTTTGGCATTTTGGGGAGTTGATTTGGGCCTTGAATATATGTAGATAGTCTTCAGAAGTACTAAAACTAATACTGAAATTTGACTGTAAGCTGTGAAAATTAGTACTGATTAGATTAGTGGAACCATTCACGTTTCTGAGACCAAGGTATGATTTACTCCTCTGGCAATGCCGCACGTCTCCCTTTAACAATATAAATAAGTTGCTGCTGTTTCCCATATATAACCAGGTTATTTTTGCCTGATTTAATCAATTCCTGATATCCAGACTAATCTATATCTTCTTGTCGTTTCAGATGGCCTCAGCAAATGATTCCAAGTGGCAAAAAGATGCAGCAGACCAGAACTTTGATTATATGTTTAAATTATTAATAATTGGAAACAGTTCAGTTGGAAAAACTTCCTTTTTATTTCGTTATGCCGATGATTCCTTCACGTCTGCGTTCGTTTCGACTGTGGGGATCGATTTTAAAGTTAAAACAGTATTCAGGCAGGATAAACGTGTCAAATTACAAATCTGGGTAAGTCACCATTTTGTTTTTTTACGTCTTTGAAAATTGATTATCAATTTCTTACCTGTGTTTGCTAATACGCTGTGGTTGGACAAAAATATTGGTGCTGCTTGTGACACTAGCCTCCTGAGATTTGGGGTACAAATAGTGGTCTGACTTAATAGGGGTCTGACTTAATGGGGGTACAAATAGAGGTCTGACTTAATTCGGGTACAAATAGGGGTCTGACTTAATGGGGGTACAACTGTTAGGCTTGATTTCAAAGTGTGGAAACGCCAAGGTGCCAGCCTGCCATGGAGGGTATTTTTGGGGGGTTCTTCTCTAGAAAAATAGGATTGTTTGGTGCATTCTGACAGATTGTGGTGCAAAAAAGGTATAAAATATCTTATATTGAAATTAAGTGAAGGTACAAACAATTTGTTTAAGGGGACTCGCCTCTATACCCGCTATTTGCTAACCTGAAGGTCCAGGGTTCAAACCCAGAATGGGTCGAGATCAGCCTTTTGAATTTTGAAGCCCATTTCCCTCTTTTGGAAAGATCAGTTAAACAAGAATAGGCTTTGGGTTAATGTGGAAGCAAATTTTTCCTCTTTACACACTGCATGGTGTTACCAATTTTGATTAGATTTATTAGGTGTAGGAATACAGATTGTTAAACTCTATTAACTTTCGATTTCAATCAAATTAAGAAAGAAAACCTGGTCAGCCCACGATTATTATCTAGTAAAGTAGAATATAATATCATGTATTAATTCCATTGATAAATATCAGTTATAACTCACATGGGGGTTCAATATCAGTATTTACCTGTTACCATGGTAACACTATTGTTATAATTATTACTGTTAGTAATTTAGTAAATGGAGTGTACAAGATGAATAATGGTTCGGTAATTTTGTGTGTTTATTAAAATCCTATCAATCAGAAAATATTGATAACTTGTTTATTTTATCCCCCGACTGCATGAGGATTTTACTAGGATTTTTATATAATGACTTTCCTGATTGGATAATTTGCTAACGGCATCGTTAAAATACTGTGAGATTAGGAATTTAATACAGACAACTGATGGTTTGAAAAACGTTTAAATTGAAAACAATTGAGCTCTACCATTTATGGCTGGGTAGATTGATAGATATAATCTATTATCGTATCTAGGAATTTATAATTTCAATTATTGATCATCAAATTTCATAATGGATTAAATGTCATTGTCATTTTCTCCAGTGAACCCATTTACAAGTCTTAAAAATAACCCATGAAATTAAGAATTTTGACATGTTTCTAATTTAGTATTTACAGGGTTTCTCAATTAGAATATTGTGATTATTAATTGATTATTGATGGGTAGTCTGTTGTTGATAATAGATCTCAATTTGGTAATCGATACCCAGCATTACTACTATCATCTATTCAACATGTTCTAAATTATTTCATATTTCTACCGTGTTTCACTGTATTAGAGGCTGGGGATGATAAATATTCATGAAGTCACATCACATCATACCTTGTCAAATCAGCCAATCAGCACTCTTCTACGTGAGTTTGTTTTGTAAATACAAACACATGTATTAATCTAGTGAAATTAAATGAATACAGGCAAGTTCTTTCCATTGATAAAATTCATACAAAGCTATTTAGAGAAAGCAAACCACAATCCCTACCATTTATTGATAGGGGACATGGTTTAAAAGACAATTGAACTGTAGTAAAATCTTAATACAAACATTCTAAAAAATGTGGATCAGAGAGAACCATTGAGCTCTAAAATCCAAATATTCTTCAAAACAATGATATTGTTCTTTATCGTAAACAACAACTATAGAATGTAATCCTTGTAAGACATTTAGAAGTATCACAGCACATTAAGAAACAACAGTTTTTATGGATATAGACTCCTATTTATTATTGAAAACAACGTATCATTACATATACAGGTAACGTTCTCAAGTGATCACTTGTATACCTGTATGTGTAATGATACGTTGTGTTCAATAATAAATAGAAGTCTATATCCATAAAAACTGTTGTTTCTTAACATCTATAGAACTTTATTATTAATATCAGACTTCGTTAATACAGTCTTCGTTTAATTCTGAAACTAATTACCAGAGATAATTAATTAACCCCAGGCTAACAATATATTAATTAACAGCAAAGATACTCGTCTAATTATAGGTTTCAATCTATTTGATCAAGGTTGAGACTTGTTGTCTAGCTTTGTGTTTATTGAAATTTTACAGTAATAACCCTTTGGAAAGGAGTGGAAATCAAAATGATCTAAAACCAATTTAATAGGCTAATGTCACTCATTGCACACTGTAATGGTGTTGCCTGGCTGAGACTCATTGTTGAATTGAATTTAATGGTTATAAGAATCCAAGGTTATCTTTCTCTCAAACTAAATTGATTTGGTTTATGTTACTGTTAAAGGAAGGAGATGGAGCTATTGTCATCTTGACATTGATCAGACGAAATTCACGTTACAAATAGTAAGTTATAATCAGACGGCATAAAAAACGTCAATTAACGTTAAAAATCATTACAAAAGTCTGTAGGAAAAGTGTCCAAACGTATACCAAGAGGCTTGTAACTGCCTATAAACAAAATAAGAACTAAAATAATCACATAGTCCATGGCAAACTAAATTCTCAACCCACCATCATCCTACCCAACACTGACCCCCAACCCCCATCATTGTTAAAACTAACAAAACATTACTAAGCTAAGCAGCACTTGTAAATGAATAGTCCTTGGTTCGGACCTAGGCCCGTGCTTTCTGAGTTAAATTCTCATTTCACCTGAACACTACAGTAAAGTCATTGGGGTCGTAGTTTTCAAAATAATTTCTCTTCAGTCTGATGGCTTACTTTTTTCTTACACTACAAGATATATATGTAAGCTTTTATTAGAAAGTTAACCTAACTAAGCTGTCCTGTAAAAAGTTGGCAGATCATAATGACCAATATTATGTATATAAAAAAGGTAACGTCTTGATGTTCCCAAAACATAATGAACTGCAGTAAGTGAGATCAAGTTAAATAAATAAACCACCATTGAAAAGAAAGATGGAGGAGGATAGGTAACCAATAGAAACGGAAATTGAATTATTCAGATGGAGGAAATGGAATAGATTGTAATGTCAATCAGATATTCTTTGTGGATTTTATTTTTTTTTACAAATCAAACTGTTTTTGAAAAATTTTTCTTTGTCATACTCATTTGAATAGTTATAACCTCACAGAATGAACTTGATTAGGTATGAAGGTCATCATTCTCTGAAACCAGAGTGAGTTACCTAATTCCACTGCCCTGTAAAATTTCCCTCATTGCACACTGTAATGGTGTTGTCTGTTCGAGACATGATGTCCCGATTCGTGATGATTGAATCTAATAGTAATAACACCACAGAAAGAGATTAGGAAATCAAATAAAGATATTTTTGAATATTTCATACATTGCCATATTCATTTGACCTAACAGTTTTGTATTTCGTTCTACAGTTACAAATGGTAGGTAGATGACATGTTAACGTTTTCTTCCTGTGGATATCGATAACGCAAACTACATAGTTGTTGGTAGATGACAAGTTAACGGAGCTAATAAAGACTTATAGTGTCAGCTTCAGGGTCAGGTTTTAACTACAGTAATCAGAGCCGAGGGGCTCAGCAAGTAATGATCTTGAATAAGGATTTAATTTTAATTGGAGTCAATACTAACAGCTAGCTGTGTTAATTTCAATGTTTGTTGAATTAAACTGTCTGAGTTGGTTAATGTCATTCTAATTAAGTTCCAATTAATTCTGACATTTTGATGTTTTGTATTTAGAACGGAATAATAGTTAGTTCTGTTTCCTGGTTAATATTTTATTATTCTAATGTTATATTATATCAGTAATACCAGTTATATTCTGATTGGAATTCGTTATGTAATATCCCAAGAGAAGACTATTTTTCTCTCCTTGTGTTATCATTAACCTTATACCCATCGCCATCATCTAAGACTGGACTGGGAAATTTCTGCATTTGGGTTTCCTAATTCCAAATCCCTTTCAGAGAGTCCACATAGCTTATAATGTTTATTTGGTATTTAGGTTTGTCAACATGGTATCCCTTTCAGAGAGTCCACATAGCTAAATATGTATAATTCACCTGTGTTTGTCAGTAATGGCCTAGGGTTCAGGTGTTCACCAAGAGATGTCTAATCCTTAGAGATTATCTCACTCTGTTTCTTTCTTTTTTAAACTTCCGTTTTCAAACCAATTTATTTAAAGCTCATTTCATGCTTCAGACATCAAATCCCCAACAGGGGAGCTAGTCTTATCTTCTTAATGTCAAACTATAACAAACTTAGTCTTATACCTTGACTTCAATAGCCAACTTTCTTTATCAAAGAAGTTTATTAATGAAGCAATTTGATTGGATTGTACACTAGCAAATACAGCCAATCAGTAGACAGAAAGTCTGTAAACAATTAGACATATTGTTTACAGTTTATCTATCAAGGGCGCTGATTAGCTGTATTTGCTAGTGTACAATCAAATCAAATTCTGCATTATTTGATACAAAAAATATGGTTATTGCAGTCAAGGTATAAGACGAAGTTCGTAAGACCTTGACATTGTGAAGATGGGTTGGAAGCGAGTTGGATTGTTGTCTGCTAAGCAGCTGATTGTGGCTTCGAATCCTCCTCTAGGTAATAGAAATTCTGATTCCACAGCCTGTTCAATAAAGAGTCAACCCCCCACCCCCCAAGTTGACTTTCACCCCCGTATAAGCTTATATAGCTAGTGTGATTGTTGTCAGTCAGGTCATTAGGTGCGGTGGGTTCCAATCTTTTTGATGCCTGATGCTTCTGAGAGTCCATCCTCTAATATAAGCTTATAACTCATGTATGTTATATTATAATTACAGGATACAGCTGGTCAAGAGAGATATCGAACTATAACTACAGCTTATTATCGAGGTTTATCCTCTAATATATAACTCATGTATGTTATATTATAATTACAGGATACAGCTGGTCAAGAGAGATATCGAACTATAACTACAGCTTATTATCGAGGTTTATCCTCTAATATATAACTCATGTATGTTATATTATAATTACAGGATACAGCTGGTCAAGAGAGATATCGAACTATAACTACAGCTTATTATCGAGGTGCTATGGGATTTTTATTAATGTATGATGTCACCAATGAGGAATCTTTCAACGCAGTTCAAGATTGGTAAGTTTTATACTTTACACAGTTATTGCCCTTGCTTGGTTTGAATTCAAAACTAGTTCTTGCTTTTTGTTTGGTTTGAATTTTGGAAGGATTTATTGCCCCTGGTTTATTTGCGATTAAGTAAAAACACCTCGGTCTTGTTCCATTGAAAATACAGAAAAAAGAATACTAGATCTTACCCCTGTGCTAACTTGCAAATTCACTAAATACTTAAAATTCCCTTTACATTTTCAAAGTTATGGAAGACTGAATTATTGCCTTTGGATATTTTTTGGAATCTTTTTTTTTTTTTTTCTCCAACCTTTGTAAATTTATTATGTGAAGTTTCTATTTGCATCATTCTAATTTCCTGCCTTGTGTTGTCATTTCTTTAACTCTAGAAAAAACTCAACCAGATAAAAATGTCACATTGGCAAATACAATTTTATCGCATAATCAGAATTTCAGTCTCTGTTGTTCGATCTGTTTCTGAATGTCTTAATTATCTGAATTTTATTTGCATATTTCAAATTTCAATTTCTTCTGCGTGATATATTATTTTTAGCTCCCGAATTTGTGGCCTTCTAGCTTTCATGAACCTTGTTTTATCTGCGATGTTTATCTGTTCTATAGGAATTTATGTTCTTATATTTTTGAAAATGTGTGTTTAACTTAAATGTAAACATTACTTGACAAGTATCTAGGTACAGAAATGAACACATTTTCAAAAATATTTATTCAGGTCTAGATCTTATTTGCACATGCATGCACATTTTCTGCATTTGACCAAGTTTCTATCTTAATAATGTCCCTGATCAGACTGGACACATTAAGCACATGCATGCACACATTTTTTTAATGTGTGTCTACATTCTGATATGTTGTGCAGCACATGTTTAAAAGATAAATGTGTTTGCAGATGCATATTTTTATCTGACCTAATTCTCTTCATATTAATATAGTACATGCACACACTTACATAATTATTTCACAGAACTGTGTTTGCATGTGCATCTTATTATCTGACCTAATTCTGTATTTCTATCAATGTTAATAAACTCTCTGTTCTATTTCTGTACTGTGTGTTGTGTTTAGGTGTACCCAGATAAAAACACATGCCTGGAGCAACGCTTCTGTGATCCTTGTTGGTAATAAATGTGACCTAGAGAAACAACGAGCAGTTTCTTACGAGGAGGGATCTGAACTAGCTCAAAATTTAGGTATGGTTTGGTGAAAGAGCTGGTACCGTATATACCTCTATAATCTGGTAAAATGGTCGCTGGGAAAGGGATTGCTTCTACTTCCTGCTGGTAATATAAAGTTCTGACTGAATAAATAATTATCATTCCAAATATTCAGGGAATTATCACAGAAAATAATCTTTTAACTATGACGTTGAAAAGGATGCCGAGTTAAACATTCAAAAGATCAAATTAATGATATTAGCCACGTGAACTCTCTTAAAGGGATACTGACTTCACAAAAAAGCAATATCCTTTGTGATGCTCATTGCTCAAATGACGTGATAAGTTTTTCGATCTTAAGAGTTGACAGTCTCAGTTGAAAAGTGACACAAGGTTTTCTGATTCAAGCTTGGAATTTGCCAGAAAACAACAAACAATGGACTTGAATTGACCAACCCGATATCAGATTAATAATATTAGCTATGTGAACTCTGACTCTTGAGTTGCTGACTTGACAAAAACAAATATCCTGTTTTGATACCAAAATGACCTAAAGATTTGAGCATTGATTTTGCCAGAAAACAACAAATATGGACTTGAATTGAAATACCTAAACATCAAAGTGATAATATAAGGAATATAGACTCTATTAGGGAGATGCTGACTTGACAATAACCAATTTGTAGATTAGTTAGTCAATCATCAGAATTGACCATCCCAATTGAAGACTGACACAAGGTTTTTTGAAACCAAAGATCCGTTTTTATACGAGAATGACATAACATGAATTATTCGATCTTTAAAGTTGACAGTCCCAGTTGAAAAGTGGCACAAAGTGTTCTGATAGCCTGAGAATATATTTGAACAGAATAAAACAACATGGACTTGATTTGAAAAAGAAAAGAAGAAATAATTCAGCTATTTGAAGACCATTATTGTTAATTTGAAGTTAAAGATGTCTAGTTGAGATTGAAGACTGGGAGAAAATTCTGAAATTACCAGTTTTCACAGAAATCAGCTCATTATCTTGTCCAATAGAATTGAGATTTAGACATTAAGCCTTCAGGCTGTCTTCCTTTATTCTCATATTATCTCAAACTGGAAGGGGAATCAATTTGATTCTAATACCTTGATAAAATTACTGCCTGGAAGCCATTTTAATTTATTGTTACAATATTACAGGAATTTATTAACTTGACAACTTGATAAACTATGTCATTATGACATTTAGTATTTCTTACGGAATTTATTTCTGAGTAATACAGTAAAATAATAATAATAGTAATAGTTAACTTATATGACGCTATTTTCTTTTCAGTTTCTCCTGTGCCCTCTGTCAATATTTTCCTGTAAATGGAAGAAATGTAGTATTAATACTATTGAATAATGTATTCCATAGAAAAAACTTTCAAACACTGGTCACATCAAGTTTGCGAAAAAGTCAAATTTTTCTCTAGGATCTTCAATGATACGAATTCAGTCAGAACTTTATTTTATCAGAGTTATCTCCTCTTGGTTTCTTGTTTACTCACTAACTCCCTCTAGCTTCTACTAATATAGCTTTACAATTTCAGATTTAACTAAATCGAAAGTAGCAGGTCACTGAACTAACCTCTAACCTTTCACCTCTGTTAGTGGGTATTATTTTATTTTGTGTTGTGGGTTTTGATTGGTTGATATTTATTTGTTTCAGGTGTACCCAGATTAAGACGTATTCGTGGGACAACGCTCAGGTTGTTTTAGTCGGGAATAAATGTGATTTAGAGGACGAACGGGTCGTCTCAACCGACCGGGGAAAACAGCTCGCCGATCAATTAGGTACCTATATATATCTATTTATAAACATTCTTTGCTTCCTGTAAAATATTTCTGAGTCTGAAAGCTAGAGTAGAGTCGACGTGGATTTCTTTGCTTGATTTTACCTCTGGTGCCTTATTCTCCAAAACGTTACTTAAATAAATCCAGATTTTAAGAAATACAGTAATCTGATTGGATAATACAACAAAATTTAAAATTGATTTTAGTGATTGACCAATCAGATGACTGGAACAAAAATAACAGGAATAAGAGCAGGGGTGAAACCTACAGGGCTTACAAACAAAGATTTATGCTTGAATCAGAGAAAATGGTTATGCCTGTTTTTAGAACATACCTGAAAAGACAGAAAGTTAAGCGAAATCTTTAAAAAACCGTGGAAGCCAATATACTTAATGTGTTTCTACAGAAATATTTTGCAGGATAGTTCATCAATCTATTGCATCCATTTATTTCTATTTGACATGCTGGGAAAAATATATTCTAGAATATTAAGGGGTTGAAAATACAAAAAATGAATATTTAAAGTGTTGAAGAAGAATACGCTGCCATCTGAAACAAATAATGGGAATTAATATTTAGTTTTTTAATGCTGGTAATGGTTTACAACCCCTAACCTTTGAACTTTGACCTCAACCTTCGACCCCTTCCTACTTTAAAGGCAGTGGTATTCCTGAATTATTTTATTGGTAATGGCTTTTTTAGGTGTTCATCTTTAAAGAGATTGTAAAAAGGTTTTCTAAATTTTTATGTGTATCAGAGACACTGATAGCATCAATATACACCATTCGATTTTTCAGTCAGACTTCTGTGGTTTCTGCAATTATACTCAAACTAAGTCTTTGATGACATCACTAATCACAAAGGGCCTTTTTCGATATAGCATATTTTTATGATTTGTGACGTCATCAAACATCTGGACCACAGACGTCTGATCAAAAATTGGAATGGTACAAACTGATGCTATCAGTGTCCCTGATACACATACAAATTGTAGAAACCTCTTAACAATCTCTTTAAGACATGACTTAATATTATGACGTCTAATTCACACTTTATGAAGACTCATTTTCTGAATACTGATAATATAAGGGAAAAGAACAATAATTCAAAGACCAGATGGGTAGGCGGAGGACATTTCAAGATGGCAGATGTAGAAAAACGTTTCACACATGATTCCCAAAATACTAAGGTATCCAGAAAGTCACAAGATGAGTTCTGATTGGCTGTGACGCAAATCATACTACCTTCATTAATATTCATATAGTTACTATAAAAGGCGTAATTCGAAAGTAAAACCAATGGTTGCCATCTTGCAATCAACCAACAGTAAAAACATTCTACAAATAAAAATAGCGAACCTATATTTAAAACCCATTAATTTAATTTTAAACACAAACTGTTTTCAAGCAATAAGTTTTATTGGTCGGAAATACAAAACAAGAAAAAAATAGTTAAAATAGATGAGTTAAGTTTGTAGGAAAACAACCATCTAAGTGAATTAAACGTGTTGCTTCTAAAAACATGTCGATTTTTCACTGTCAGAGAAACGTTAGAATCGTGTTAGTTTTCTCCCAGTATGAATGAAGCTTATTGATTGGATGTAGAAATGTTGAATTGAAAGAGAAGAGATGATGATTAAAAGTAGAGCTATTTCGAGATACGTGATTTTATCTAATAATATGTAAGATATATAGATATAGGAAGGTTATATCAAAACACCAAGTACTTTACATATTACTAGGGGTGGGGGAGGAGGGGGAACACTTTCATCTGAAAAGTTGAAATTTTACATATTACTAGAAAGCCTGGCCTGAAGAAGCATTGTATATGCAAAAATTTGCCTCATTAAGTTAAAAGTGAAAGCAAAAGATATATTTTTATTAAAGATATAAGATATATGGATAAACTTCTGAATTTCTACATACTAAAGGTCCGAACATCTCCGATAGTTTTATTATCTGCAAGACAGATGGTCATCATCCAATCAGATTCATTTTCCCTTCAATTGCATGCTCTTGTCTTCTTTTGTGCCAGTGCCAGTGAAATTCCTGACAAGACCCTAGTCGGTGACAAAAATCTTTGGCCAAGACTGTTCGTGTGTTCACACCCTAACATGCATATGTAGCAAAATCCTGAAGTAGTCTATCCATATGTCTTAATGTTATATCTTGATGCGTGATTTTATCTCCCACCGCAGTGAAAATAGCAGTGATGTCTAATTCTATTTGATTGGATCAATTATTATAAAAGTCTATTGGAAGCTGAAGTTGTTTTGATATTTGAATTTATATGGGACATCTTGTATGTCATAACAGCAACAGTTTAAACTAGGCAAACGAAATGCTGTAACTCAAAAGTGCCAAAACATATTCTATCTGCCACTAAGCATAGAACAGTGTTGGTAGAATGATAGTTGGAACATGTTTTAAGCAAAACTTAGTTAGATCAATGCAATATACATATTTAATGTAAAAAAGGATTTGTGGATCCAAAGAGCTTTACAACAAGTGTAGATATTATACAAACAATGTCAGTTAACTTCTTCTCAGATTATCTTTTCTAGTATTTATATTTACCAACAATTAGGTTCAGAATTCTGGATTCTACTATACTACATTGTTACACATTGTTACACATTGTATAGAGAAATTCTTTTTGAAATTCTATTAGTTAATTCCATTTAATATCTCCATTCTAACATTGAGAAGAGAAATTTGTTTTCACAGTAAAACACTGCCTAACATCTCCACCATCTTTTATTTTCTATTCACCTGCATTGTTACACATTGTATAGAGGAATTCATTACATCAGAAGGGATTAAGATATGATTCAATTCTAATTGAGAAAAGAAATTTGTTTCTACAGTAAAACACTGCCTAACATCTCCACCGTCTTTTATTTTCTATTCACCTGCATTGTTACACATTGTATAGAGAAATTGTATAGAGAAATTGTATGATATGGAGGAGTTTTAGGATCAATAGAAACTAATGTCACGAACTCCAGATAAATTTGATAGCCCTTGACTATTGACAAGATAAATAACCCTTTGTCAATCAGAATTATTGAACTTGTTTCAGTCTGAATATAACCTGGTTTATACTGAATTAATTCCTTCAATATTACTGAATTAATTTCTGGTTTGATATTTGAACATTGATTGGACAATCAAGGAATAGAGAGGGAGGGTGGATGATTGGTTTTCTCAAAATGATTATCAAACTTGGTTTACACCACAAGAATTTTATCAATAATGACAATCTTGTTTCTGGTTTAATAATTAAATTTTACAGTAACGTGGATGATGTTGTCAAGATGTAGCAGGTGAAATGTGGTCTTAATTGATTTCTAGTAAAATATTAAGATCATTCATTCAATTTTTTTATGTCAAGTTTAAAAAAAGGGATGAAAGGAGGATTTACAGTATGTTGCTATGATATTAAGTCACAATATTTCAATATTTTAAACAAATTTTAAGGTATTACGAGTGATTTATTGTAACCAAGCCCTGTTATATAGTTTTACATGGAACAATATTAGTCTTCGACATAAATCTCTATATAGGTTTATTGTCAGGTATAATTCTCTAAAGAGATATTTATTATGATACCAGTATATCGCCCAGGCTTATAGTTACTCTCTATATTACAAAAATGATTAATTTTTCGTTTTTTTGATCTATTATGAATCAGTTTGATTAAACCATGATAGGGTAAACTGATCATCTATTGTATATAAATGTTAGTAAACACTGGTTTTTATGGCATTATGATTTCAATCTAGTTTAAATCCCGCTGGGTTTACAAATTATACTCACTTCATTTAAGATTACAAACGCGTTTTTACGCTGAAAATTATTAATGATAATGTTATTATCAAGAGCATAATTCTCAAAAATTAAACATAAAATTATTTTCATGTCGGTCATCTGATTGGTCAATCACTGAAATTGATTTTAAATTAATTTATAATATCCAATCAGATTAGTTTATTTCTTAAAATCTGGATTTTATCTTATTTAAGTTTTCAAGAATAAGGCCCCTGATAATCAAATATGGTGGTCGTGGATTCTAAACTCAAAGGAGGTGTGAATTTCTTTCACCTTGTTATAGATAACCCTTGTTTGATATTTAGGTCTAATAGGGCTAAGGGTGTGCACATCTTTCCTCAACATTCCAGTTCATCCATGTGTATAGAGTTATTCTTATTTCCATAAAGCTGGTAAACAGGATCCTTGAGAACCTAAGTTTTTATCCAGGTAAAATCATTACCAAGAGGTTTGGCCAGAGACCAGCTGGTAGACAGGATTCTTGAAAACCCAAGGTGTTATCCAGGTAAAATCATTACCAAGAGGTTTGACAATGACCAGCTGGTAGAAAGGATCCTTGAGAACCTAAGTAAAATCATAACCAAGAGGTTTGACCAAGGATCAGCTGGTAGACTGAATCCTACACAACCTAAGGTTGGATGTTTATATAGACAGGGACCAGGACAATCTAAATTGTGAATAATAAAAAACAATTCTGTTGTTAAATGTTAAGAAAGACAGGTGACCTATCATATACTTCTGTAACTAATCTATAATAACATTATTAATTTATATTGTTTATTGTATTTTGTCTAGAAATAACTAAATTAGTCGTGTTGAGTCAGGGTCTGCTAAATTGTTTTTTAAAATTATTTAATTAAATTCTATTTCTGTTTGTCTGGAAACCAACTGGAATTAATCTTCATGTCATATTTATACCATATTTTCTTTATCAATATCATCCTGATATTTTTCTACCTTGTAAGAGCATCTTTACAATGTCACTGCATATAATACCTTGACTGCAATAGTCACATTTCTTGTATAATGGAAGTTTGTAAATACAGCCCTGTTTTCTTTAGACCATGTTCTTATGCCTTGACAGTTGACATCTTCCCTGTCAGTGTATGTTAGAAGGTATCATGTCTTTTGGATAATACCCTAAGACTCCCTCACTGAACTCTTAAAACAAGATCTAACACTTTACAACCCCCGCGTGGAATGTAATAAAACAAGTTATCAAAGTGGTTATTGATATTTATAATTAATATTAATAGTTCGTTTATTAATAGTTCGAGATTAATTATCTCCTAAAATAAATCTTGTCCTGAATAATCAATAACCTATCAATAACTGATCAACCAGATCAATCAGTGGTTACCGTGGTAACTAAGATACCATATTGAACTGTTTATTTTGACAGTTATTACAAAGTATACATTTACAGTGACTGATTTCTCTGATAATTTGGAACTTGAAAGCAAATATAACTAGGCAGTCTGAAGCCAGAAGTGAAAAAAAAAATGGATGTCGGAATGTCCTGACCTGTCTTTCGTATAAAAATACTTTTGCACATTAAATTAATTTTCTACTTTCAATTTATTTTCGTTATTATGTTCGTTATTTTTCCTTTCTGGTTTTGAAGACTAATTACCTTAATGAAAGAAAATATCTAATTGATCCACAAAAGCACTGCCAGTGGCATTACTTGATCCATTGAAAACATTCTACTTTCAATTTATGAAGTCTGTTATTTACTTATTAGATCCACAAAAGCACTGGCCCTGGATTTACTTGATCCATAATTAACATTCAACTTTTAATTTCTTTTCAGGTCTGGAGTTTTTTGAGACGTCTGCAAAAGAAAATATAAATGTGAAATCTGTTTTCGAGAGATTGGTTGACATCATCTGTGACAAAATGTCTGAAAGCCTCGACTCTGATCCAACTTTAGTCAGTAGCCAATCAAAAGGCACCAGATTGACGGAAAATACCAACGCTCAGAACGCTGGTTGTTCTTGCTGATTGGTCGGATTGATAGAGTTTAGAATAAAATATACGTTGTCAGGGGAAACTGGGAGGGGGAATAACTCTAAATGCTAGTCATAATCTCTGAGACTGCTGAGATGTAATCTCTATATCTTCATTACACAGTTGTCTCCCCTTGGCATAATACATTCTTAGCATTAACGTTAATATCTCGGAATCTAGATCGTTATTTTTGTTGGTATTTTTTTTTTTTTAAGAAGAAACATTCACAAGGTATTAAAAGGCCAAAACAGGGATAATGAAGGGTTTTTGTTGTTAATTTTACTAACTGGATGTTAGAGTCTATCACCTGAGTATCGTTTCACAAATATTTTGTCATCAAAACAGGGTTTTAATGTTAATCTTACTAACTGGATGTTAGAGTCTATCTTTTGTGACTATTTTAGGAAACGGGGTTCATCAACATTTAAACCATTTCACGATCTGTCAAACCACATTCAACTATCTCTTTTTCTATCCTTTTGTGTCCTTGACCTTTAAATTTCCTTGACCTTTAAATGTCTTTGACCTTTAAATGTCCTTGAAATTGATGTCCTTGACCTTTAAATGTCTTGGAACTTTAGATGTTCTGGGCCTTTAGATGTCCTTAGATGAACTTAAAATGTCCTTGACCTTTAAATGTCCTTGACCTTATATATTACTAAGATGTGCAATATTATCTATGTTGAAGCCAAGATATTAAAATGTAGAATAGTTGTGTGTTTAATCTCTGATGGAAAGTATATCTGAACCAGATTCTAATAATGAAGTTAATAAATGTTCATATAGAGAATTGTGTCTAATTAACCCTTCTAATTAATTTATTATTCTGCTCAATTATCTCAATCTTGACCTCATTTATATTGCTTGTATTGTTATACCAGTATCCTGAGGTGTAACTGCCTCTGATGTAACATATATAAACTTGATATTCTTCACCAAGACACCAGCTAATAAACAATATGTATGCTTTGAATAAAATAATTATACATCATATTAATATTAATCGACTTTATATTTCTAAATAAACACCCCACTATTTAACATTGTTCATGCATTGAAGGAAAACAGCTGTTCAGAATTCAGAGAAATATGTACCAAAATGTTTCCGATTCTTCAAGAAATTAAGTTGTTTTCTTGCAAGTCAGATTTTATTTCGATACACTTGCAATCTTGATAATGAGTAAACAATGTATTGAAATGATTTGTCTGTATTAGTTATGACTGCTTTCTGTAGATCAAGTATAAGTTTACCAAGTAAAACAACTTCAATTTTTGAACTTTTAGAAATCAGGGCTCGCTTCTTGTTTGCATGGTGTTCCAAGATTTATTTACAGTCTCAGCTGGTTTCGGGGACCAAATTTCTATATTCCATCTTCTACATTCCATCATAGTATTAATGTTCTTTTAAATCTGTCTCATTTTGTACCAATTGTCAAAAATTGTAGAGGTCAACCCCTTTTGAATAGGGCAAAAATTGTCCAATAGACCTAAAGCTTAAATGGACAATTTGGAGTTTGAGTCAGACATGACTGGTAAGCTAATCCAGATCAGAAACCCCATTCAATGCATGCCAATGGGTTGTGATTCAGCATTTATTGCCAGTCTTGTCTGACTGGTACTCTTAAATAACAAGATCTAAAAATCCTTAGGTCTTAAAAACCTAAGCTAGGTTTAAATGTGTTCGTTGTATATCTATATTCTCATCTAAGGCTGTGCCGATATCGCGATGACGTAACGCAATGCATGTTTCATATTTCTTATTATTGATTATGAATATCTGCCTACCTTAGGGTCCACTATGTTGACTTATTTCTGAAGGAAATGTGTTTCCAATCCAAGGAGAATATATCCATGGCTGATTTGGATCTTCAATTTACTTTAAAAAATGCAGGTGATTTGTCCTGAGATTGGTATCCATGGTAACCAATCAACCAATCAGAAATCCATTTCATATTTAAATATCCTGACCAATGGAAACATACCTCTCTGTTTTTATTTATTTACTATTTTGTGAGTTTGGTTGTGGAAGGGAATATTGTCTATAAGCTTTGATTTTTGTGATTTTGAAAATCCTAACTCTTATTTAACAATGGCTGTAAGTAGCTAATAACAGGGATGCTGATTTGGCTGTATTTACCAGTCATGTCTGAATTGAGCATTTAAATGTCTATGGGTATTATGATTATTGCTTGAAAGTTTTGTTAGTGACAGTTATTGAAAACCTTAAATCACACCAAGTCATTTTGAAGCTCAAGCCAGGCATGATTGGTAAATATCTCTGAAACAGCATCCCTGAGCTTTAACCAGTAGTATATTATAAATTATTGTATTTATTTAAAAGTTGTGTATTATTGTAAATACAGACTGAATTGTAAATATTCGGGAAATGGGATTGTGAAACTTTTATAGAAAAATCAGAAATTGCGTAAAGGTAAAAATGGGGATGGGTTTTGAAGTAGAACTGTGGCGTGACGTTTTTTGAATTGGTAAGTGAAGGGCTGAGAAGGGAAAACTGTTTTGTTAAAAGGAGCTCTCTTTGTGTAATGATAAGAAGTTATAGGGTGGTAGTTTGGCCTGTTTCCCCTACCCTACCCTAGCCACTGGAATTGTGATCCAACAAAATGACCTTTCAACAACGTTTGGGTCACAAAGACTAAGTTGATAAAAAAAGATTTCTGATTTTTCTATAAAAGTTGATAGATTGTTGAAAGTGAACTGTTAATAATTAAAATATTAGTTGTTATAATATTGTGTCACAAAACTTAACGTCAAGTTACTGGATGAACATGTCTACAATACTAGATAAACTAGTCTACAATCATGTGATCTTTAAATCAAATTCTATTTCGTTAATCTTTATCACAATGATAATACTATATAAGATGATATATTTAACTGTAAACAGGACTGTTTCTGGGCCTCATCAGTGCAGTGTTGATACTGGAGTTGAGGTTTAGCTATATAGCTGTCTCAGATGATCCTGCATAATGTGGTATCATCGTACCATACCAGAGTGCTCAAACTAGCAAGCTAGTGAGATACACATACTCACTAGAGACAATGGTACACTCCAGATAGAGTGCTCAACAAGGTCTGAGCCAAGGAGCATAATTATCTAACTGCAAACAGGACTGTTTCAGCCTTCTTATATAAGATGATATATCTATTAAACTGAGTAATTATTGAAACTTACTTCTCCTTATTACAGGGCTACAGTATTTTTTAGATATTATACAAGGTGTTATTATTTATTGTCATTCCATGAAAAGTATCAAGTTATCTAATAGATTTATCAACCTTAGTTTTATCTGTATTTTGAAGCATTCCATGACCTCTTCTTTCATTTGTCCAGCAGAAATAAATTTCTTCTTTCACCATATTGACTTGATCCTCAAGAACCTATTACCTAAGTTATTATCCTTGTAAATTATGGATTTTGTTTTTTCTTGCAATAAAAAGAGATATGTCTACGATTCAAACCTAGAAGCTGATATTTCCTTTTTTCTCTGAATCATATTTAATTTTGTTTGACTCTTGTTCCATGTTTCTTTGTTATGTTATTAGTTTATATGTATGTACATTTTATCTCTAAAATAATTTCAAATTCAAATTTGAGAAAATTCAAACCCAGATACTGTATGTTGTTGGTTGAGCATATACTGTATATTCTTGAATATAATGCTCACCATATATAACGCGCATTCCATATATGGTAGTATTCTTCAGTGGGCATTATTTTCACTATGTAGTAAATATGTGTATCATAATTTTTCACTGCAGCAGGAAGAGAATGGTAGAGAGGCTTTTGATTGGTTAAATGCTGTAATCCTTGGTTTTGAAACCAACAATTGCTAAAATGTTAGCAACTATCATAAATAGGATTTAAAATCACACAAAGACAAAACTGGGATCACAGTCCCAATATATCAACTGTTATATACCACTGAAATAACATTCTATCAACCAATCAGAAACCAAGCACCTGTTTCTTTTAAATTCTTCTATCAATTCAGTTTCTGGTGTTATTTTCTCTGGTAAAATTTCTAACACTTTCAACAAGAATTTGATATAACATTTTGAAGAAACAGGTCCAGTACCGTTCTCTCCCTGTGGCTATGTAATTCCCACACCTCTGTCTATATATAGAAGTAAAGTTAGAGATGTTAATTAATTAATTAGCTAACGAAGATAATTATTCACCTGTTTGTAAAGTAGTCAGTCCAATACGGTAGACAGTTATTATATAATAAAGTTAACTTAGGTCTGAGGTCTTTATTTCTGACAGGGAGCAGCTGGGAGTGACAACTTGGGTCCATGGTCTTACTCGCATGGAAGGAGCAGCAGGCATCTGTGGTGGCTAAGTGAGTTAGGTCTCTTTCTACCTAACCTGAAGGTCGGGGATTCAATCCCAGCATAGGCCGAGATGATACCTTTGATTTTTCAAAAATGGTTTCCTCATGTCAGTGATGAAGATCACAGGGGGTTGTCAGCAAAAAGTTGTTCAGATAGGACATTAAACAGAGGTCAACTTGTACTATGAGCCTGTATATGATCTCTCCAACTTGATATCAAGGGGTAAGTTTATGTTGGTATCCTAGCCATTTGACAAGGAGCAGCAACTTAGGTCTACAGACTCTCCCATAGGGCTTGTCCCATTTTGGGATGTAGATCACAATGTTTCATTGGATTTTCCTACCTGAATATTTCTCTTATCAATGGATAAGCTAAGATACCATGGTCCTTGTTTCACAAAAAATCTTCCAACCATTTTGTAGTAAGGGTGTGTAATATTTCATACTGTTATTGTAATATTTTTTGTGAAACATGGACCAGTTTATTCCAAACAGAAAGGATACCAAATATAAGCTTAGATCATTTCAGTAATATTTATAAAACAGAAACATGAAAATATCCAACACCACAAGCTGTTAGAAAATAATATTCAGATCTATAACACATGAGAGCTATATTGTATAGAATAATAGATATTGATATTTCACACTAGTTATTGAGTTTTTGATTTGTTTTATGACTATATTTATATCAGGGAAATCAAGATAAATACTGATAAAACTTAACAGATACTGATAGGTACATGTTCTGTGGTCATTAAATTTATTTAACATTTTACTGTTTCTTTAAGTTACCTTAAAATCCATTTTTACACTGGCTTTTTCTGATGTCTTTACTTACAGATCTTTAAACACTTTCATAAAAAAATTTATATTGCCTTTTAGTTTATATAAAATACTAGAATGAAAAGATGATATTTAGTGACGCAGAGAAAAAGTCTTATCTTTTTAATTCATTTTACATCATATATATATTTTTTTATTTTGAAATCCTAGTCAATGTCTTGAAAGACCAGTTTAAAACAAATCATTGGATATATTTAAGTAATAAACTAAGGTGATATAAATACAGAGATCAAGGTGCCAATTATATATAAATACATATTTTGGAAAGATTATTTATTCTGAACTGATCTCTGAGAACATTGACCAGAATTTAGAAACTGACAAGTTAATTAAATAGTAATAATATATAGAAAACACAGTGGATAAATAAAGATATTACACTTTCAAAATCAATATTACAAGATAGTAGACAAACTACCATATTAATGTAGATTAACACAAAAACAGTCTATTTTATTTTTTTAGGTAGGATAAGAAGTTATAAACACATTAAGTCTATGGTTTATATAGCACTTATAACTATTCATTCTACCTCAAATCAAATGAACTATTCCTGTCTACAGTTTCAATGAGGCCAGGCCCGGTATTCTGAAAAAGATGTTAGTACTAGGACGTCCTAAAAACAATGTTAGAAATTAAAGCTCTAGGACGTCCTAGTACTAAGATCGTTTCCAGAATACGAGGTCTGGATATGCTTAAACATCTTGGCTCGAAAATGTAAAAAAATTGCATTGATATACAAAACACGTGCATCTAATAAATAAGAAAAAGATAGTACAAAATATAACAATGTAAAAAATAGTCAAAGTACATAAAGATTTAAACATTTGGTTCACCAGCTGATAGAGCTCAATTTCAGCTTTCTGTATAGTCATCTAAATAATTACTATACCAGCTGATAGAGCTCAATTTCAGCTATCTGTATAGTCATCTTAGTATTTACTTTACCAGCTGATAGAGATCAATTTCAGCTTTATGTATTTACTTTACCAGCTGATAGAGCTCAATTTCAGATATCTGTTTAGTCATCTAAATATTTACTATTCCATCTGATAGAGCTCAATTTCAGCTGTCTACCTAATTCACTTTTCAGGATAAATATATTGCATCCAGTTTGTCTACAATATAATAAGCTCTTGTAGCTGGTAAAGCAATTAAATATATGTACATAAACAAGTATGAACAATTTTAAAAAATACAAAAAAAATATTTGCACAAATCACTTTTGATATCACAGATTAAACAAATAACAAAATCTCGGAATGAATTTATAGCAGAGTCGAGGAAATATATTGATGCAGATCCAGGTTAGATTCAAAATATAGACAACATCAGTTTATTTTCACTAGAGTTAGAATTATCTCCAAGTAAACCAGATTTCTTAACTCGAAATAAACTAGACTGCTGGTGTTTATATTTTGAATCATACCCAATGTCCATCAATATCTTTCTTAGACTATAAAGCTATGTAGGAAATCAAGATATATGATATAAGGACATTTTTCCTCACAATGATTGGCCAGATCCAGAAAACGTTGATATAAGTGCTCTAATTAAAATAACAATTTTGTTTTATTTTTCACCCCCATTGTAATCTAACAAGTTTTCAACAAAGTTCTCTTATATTTGGGAAATAAAAATGCATGAGATTAAAACATTTTTCCTCACAATGGTTTATCAGATACAGGAACATTGTCACAATTTGATTAGAATTAAGTTAAATTTTGATTCTTCTTTCTTGATAATTACCACCTCTATTGTGATCTAACAAGTTTTCAACCACAGTCCTGTTTAAATTACATTATTTTCATCCAATCAAAGCATTTCATGTAGAACCTGTTTCTTGATAACCATGATGAATGATGGTATAGTCTTTCATATTGCTCTACTTTGGGTTTTGCTATCCCACAATTCATTATCGTTAATATCAGATTCTACAAGACACGATCTGATTGGTTAACATCATTCGGATCAGAATTCCGTTAAAAAATTGTTAGATTACAATGGAGACAGAAAAAAAAAAATTGTAATTTAATCCTAGTCAGATTTGTATAGTCAGTATTCCTTCCTATTTCTTCTTCTTGCCTTTTTTTCCTGTTGATGATTTGCCCTTACCCTTTCTGCCCTTCCCTCCTTTCTTAGATTTTAATTCTTTCTCTTCCTCTTCTTCTTCCTCTTCAGACTCAATTTCTAAAATATTCAAATCAAAATATCAAAATAAAATATCAGTCATAATAACTGAAGCTGTGATTAAAGAGCATATCCATAAGATCTATCCTGACAAATATAAAATACTAAGAAGACTTCAAGATTTCGTTTTTTAGTAAGAGTAGGGTTACCCTAAAATTTATTATAAAAGCGAAAATAGAATCTACCGGATATTGTTATAAAAAGTGTGTCACGTGGGCTTAAAATACACATTATCGGGTGAAAATAGATCAAATTACCATCATAATTGGGGGATTAATTAATCAGGCAATGATAATATTATTATGTGATGAGATTAATGCGTGTTACCGCCAATCAAGATACAAGTGATGATAGATATTTGTTGATTTATGGTAGAGAATTTGAACATTGAAAACGGTAGGTCCCGTGAAAATTTGATCAGGAAAAAAAACAAAAATCGGTAGAATCGAGTATCCCGCCGGTAGAGCGGTAGACAACATGTAAAAGCGGTAGAAACCTGACAACATCGGTAGATTACACATGTATGTATCGTTACTTCAGTTAGCATTTTACAAATCTTTACAAAAGTTTACAAAAGGCAAATGTGTTACAAAATGGCTTAAGTAAAGGCTACAACATCCAGACAAGTGCTACAATAAGAAAATATAATTCTTTGATATCTACCTATTAAATCTGTAGTTGTCTCCCCTTCTTCTACACCAGAAATCTTCAAAGTCGCAGGAAATTTGTCTAAATTTACGTCAGATTGTGGCGCTCCAGTTTCATCAACTGTATTTATCAAATATTCTTTTCTCTTTTGTTCCAAATCAACATCATTGTTGGGTGAACCAGTTTCGTCATGTGTCGTTATTAAGTCTTCATTTTGTTTTGACGAATCAGATTGCGTTTCAGGCAATCCAGAACTTTTCAAATTCGTTGAAAATTTATCCAAGTTCGTCTCAGAATCTGATTGGTTGGTTTCATCAAGCAAAGAAATAAGATTTTCAGCGTGTTTCGACATATTTTGTTGAGTTTCATCTACGGATGATTCTCCGATCTCTTGATCCATTAATATCAATTTATCATCTTTAATTGTGGGCTGATCTGTTATAAACCCTGGGTTATCTTTTCCTGATCTTAATGAAATCAAACTACCACTTCTGAAAAATATCAAATCACATGGTTGAAATATAAGAGTAACTTGACTTTAGAGAATGGGTAAAAGAAATGAAATTCTGAGTTTTATTTTCTACCTTTTCTCTCCTTAAGGCCAACCCCATGCAGTAAGCAATGAGGGAAATATATATCAGAGATGTTAGAGAAAAAGATCAGCGAAGAAAAAAGATAACTTACTGAGATTTAAAATCACTGATAGAATTAGGTCGTATCAACATGGCTGTACTTTCTGTTTCATCAGACTACAAATAAAACAGAATTTATAATTCTTGTCATACTTCAATATCAACTTATTAATTATTAAAATAACTACTTTTAGTACTATAGATTATTAATTGGTTTAATTTATTTATCAGAGGCAGTCTGTTGTTTAATTATTACACCAACTGATAAATACATACTCTCATTGACCAAGTTTGAGACTTAAAGAGGTTAGGTACCCTATTAACATGCCTCAATATCAACATATTGATTCAACAAGGGTATCTTGAGTCAACAAAAACAACCCTTGATCTCACAAGGTACTGTAATCAGTTCTATATGGATTTGTTTTTCTTCGTCTTGACTTTGCCTGACAAATCTAGCCCTTCCCAGTTCCTCTAATGTGATATGTACAGATGTGATATATACAGATGTGATATGTACAGATGTTATATGAACAGATGTGATATACAGATGTGATATACAGATGTGATATGTACAGATGTGATATACAGATGTGATATACAGATGTGATATACAGATGTGATATACAGATGTGATATGTACAGATGTGATATACAGATGTGATATATACAGATGTGATATACAGATGTGATATGTACAGATGTGATATGTACAGATGTGATATACAGATGTGATATATACAGATGTGATATGTACAGATGTGATATATACAGATGTGATATGTACAGATGTGATATACAGATGTGATATACAGATGTGATATACAGATGTGATATGTACAGATGTGATATACAGATGTGATATGTACAGATGTGATATGTACAGATGTGATATACAGATGTGATAAACAGATGTGATATATACAGATGTGATATGTACAGATGTGATATACAGATGTGATAAACAGATGTGATATTGCTACAGGTAGGGCTGGCAAGATTTGTCAGGTAAGTCTTGAGTGATCTTAACAAGTTAATACAAACCTCATCTATATCTGTCAGTTCTAAAGGAAAATGAAGAGTTGATGATTCAAACATTTCCTCTGTATCAGGTCCCAATAATCTTTCAGGATATAAATCATCACAATATTCTCCATCTATTATAAAATTATTCAAATATATTACAAATTGATATATTTCAAACTATAACTATAGGTCAAACTTGATTTCAATGTAAAATGGTAGGCTACATAACACAGGACTTTACCATTTGAACACTGAGTGTAAATGATATAAAACATCATATACCCTGAACTCCAAGTAATATAACTGAAAGCATACGACCTTAACCTTATGTGACATCACTTAGTAACAGCCAGATTGAAAGGTTTAAGTTTATTGTCCCATCTGAAGGACTGACTCAAAAAAGAAGAGACAAAATCTAAAATAATGGCCTTTTGTATATAAAGCAACGATTTCTGTGTACATAATTGTACATTATATACATTGTACAAAATATAAACACAAGGAGTCTTGGGTAGAGATACATTAACTCGACTTGTTTCAATTCTACCCACATATAAAGTGGACTGCCCAAGTTATTTTTAAACAGGACCAGGGTGTGCCAAAACTTACCTTGCTTGACTCCAATATGTTTTAGATCACTAGTTTACAAAACACATTAATATACTTACCTAATAAAGTGGTAGTTTTCTTAGGGGAATGAGGCCACATTTTCTTTATTTCTGGATACATCATATGTTGTTTTTGTTTTTGGTATTTTCTACCGTGTAAAAACATGCCCAGGATGTTCATTTTTAACAACAGACGTTTCTTTAACGGTGAAACCAGAATAAAATCGTAATCTCTCTGAGCTAATCGACGTGAAAAACTCGGCATATACGTTAGAAATTCTTCAGCATTCTGTTTGATTGATTCTTTCACATCATCTGAAAGTAAAATGAAAATACAATAAAAATCAGTTTGAAAAATATTAAAATACTGTCCTGACCTTTGCTGCCATTTTGAGTCGTGAGCTCCTATACTACTTCTTAGAATGGATATAAGATATAAAGTCTCAAACTTGGTCAATAAGAGTATATATTTATCAGTTGGAATTACCAGGTGTCATAAACTTGATTCTGTTATATAGTTATTACACCAGACAAGTTCACTGATGAACAAAGACTCATTTTATCAAAGTATGAAAATTTTTTTTTTTTTTGTCATCCCAAGAGGTAGTATACCTTTAACATTGCGAGCTAATATTAGAAGGCTTCCATCTTTCATTTCTAGACTTTATTCATTGTATTTTCGCAACACCATGAAGTGTCCAATAAGGGAAATATTCTATATTTGATTTTTATGTGTTCAATGTCAAGGTCTAAAATTGTCTTATCTAAATTACTTGACTCCAAAACGAAAAATATTTTGACTCCATTGAAGTGTTGATTTGATCGCATGATGAATTTTTTGGAAGTGTAAAACTGTATAACCCTTCAAATCGGACCTAAAAGAATCTAAATGAATGGACGGACGGATGGGCGTATTTCTTTTCTGTACCATGAGAGATAATGAAGACAGACGACGTACCAGAGAATAAAGATTGTGGTTCAATCTGTCTGTGAGTATCGATCATCTCATCTAATAAATCCCACAATGTATCGTGTAGACCATCCTCTAACTTCTCAGATTCTCGTAAAAACGCGTTAATAACCTGTATCTGCTGAGTTAATTCATGGACTGGTGAAAACAATGGTGGCATGGTTCGACATTTCTCTACAAAATACACAAATAAATTTTAGTTAAAATAATGAATTGTTCAACTTTAACAAAATTTCTCAGCTATGAGACAGATAAATTTTAACTCATTATAATTACTGTTTATCCCTAATTTAAAACTAGATCTAAACACAGATAAATCCCCAAATCCTTAAATTGGATCAATTCTTGTTACAAATGAAGAAATAAATAATAGATAATAAAATTTCTAGTTCAAGTCAATGAAACAAGTCTTAAACTAACAGACAATATTTCAAAAGGTTCAATCAATAACTGTTGAAACAGAATCCTATTTCTCAAACACAAATAAAATTTCAATGAGTATTTTTTTTATCCACTTTTATTATATTGTCTGTTGTCTCATCATGTAATATTCAGTTTGAGTTGGTTTTATTATTTTATATATTGCAATTTTACCTTACCTAAAACTGTTCTTCCTTTTAAAACAGCATATATATATTTCTTGGTCTCTTTGCTAACCTGGCTGTTGTTTCTCGCCACCATTGACGGCCATATTGGATCCTTCCCCATCTTTCTGTAGCAGCATAGCGTGTAAATCATGAGATGAAGAAGGAAAAGAATACAGGCTAACACCAGAATGAGGTTAATGGAGGCTAAAACCCAGACAGCATAGGGCTGTACGAGCCACGGTGATTCCACTAAGGAGGGTTTGGAATATGAGATACATGATCCAAATATAACATCCCCCAATAAACACAGATATCCGAATATAACCATCACGTTAAAACTGGTAATACGGAAGGGACGAAGGTACAGCATCAATAACCAGAAGGCAGAGAGAACCACGGCTGTTGATAAAGCCTGAGCAAAAATATTGGAGAAGGCTGCAGCATAAACTATCAACAAAACCAGCTTAAAAAATTGTATAATCGGACGGTAGAAAACTGCACGTAGATTGAATGATGAAAATAAATGGAATCCTTTCACGACCCAAATTACATCCAATCCAGACATATATTCCATTTCTTTCAACTGGAGATAACTCTCGTGATGATCAGTCGTTGCTGCTAAAACTTCACGTCGAATTCTGTAAATCATCCAGACAGGAAATGCCAGAAATAATCCCACGAATACTAAAACACTGGGAGCGATATACGCCCAATGAATGTCAGCAAAACATTGAACGTCATTCATTACATCAACTTGATTGACAGAGTTGCACTGAAATAAACGAAACAAGGCCACGCCTACTGGAATAGTAAAAATCTGACACAATATCGTCACAGCTCGCTGCATTCGTGAAACATGAACAAACAAATATGGTCGCCTGCGAAATCTCAGGATTAGATAAGTCACTAGAAAAATGAACAATGTTAAAAGAACCAGGAGTCCAATTACTAGTAAATAATAGTCATAACTAAACGGCATTTCAACACTGGGATTGTCATAGTTCTGAATTCCTTTATACGTTTCACTGTTCACTTTAAAAAACTCCCAAAAATCCAGATTGATCCAAAAGGTGTAGTAAGTTGCATTGATCCAAGAGTAAGGAAATGCCCATCTTAATGACATGGATTGAATCAAAGCAAATATTTGACAGAATTCCACCAGTAAAATAATGCTATCGTTGATCACAAGTGATGTTTTTCTGGTTCTCTTTTTCTTCGAGACTGTTGTAGCCAGTGGGTTTTCTTCCTGTGGAATATATTCAGGTTCCGATTCAATCATCAAGGGTGATGATTCTGCTGTATTTTTGTACTTCATCATGATTTCTTTTAATTTTTCTTTATGTGGAGTAAAGAATCCTAAAAATAAAAAACAAATTTTAGTTAAAGATTAGCTTACTTTAGGCCTATAAATACTTATGTAACATACAACAAGGATCATAAACAGCAAAAGGCCATGACTTACAAATCACCATGTGAAATTATTATAAACATGAATATAGATAATTAAAAATATTCTTTTGCAGTTTCGGTTTAGCCAATTTGCAAATTCATCCAACACTCAATTCAGAAACTGTGCAGAATTTTAATTTTTAAAGTGGATCTGTCAGCAATCACATGATCCAAATTCAAAATTGAAACTGAAAGAAAACAAAACAAAGCGAAATATGTCCTTGCACCTGTCACCTCCTTCGGCTTCGCTTAACTTTCCTTTCTTACACAATAAATTTAACATTGGTTAATAAATTAGAAAGGAACAGGTAATCAGGTAAATAGATATTGGAAATCAGGGGAATTATAGAAGTTAACTCACCTATTTGTTAAAAAAAATCGTTAAAATTTCTTGTTTACAAAATCTCGCACCAGTAGGTCGCCATGTTGTTTATATTATGACGTCATTCAGGGTCGCCATGACATTTGTAGTCTCGGTTATCCTATATTGATTAAAGCGCTGTTGTAAACAGAACTGGATAATCAAATCATAAACCAAAGACCTTGAACTTTGACCTAATCAAATGATAACGTTTTGCTGTAGAAGATTTGTTCGTAGAAATTTGCAGAGTGTCGCCATCCTTCACATTGACACTCGTCGCAAGATGTCTTTAAAGTTTTCAGCGAACCTGACGTTTATGTTTCAGGAAGTTCCAACTCTATGTGGACGCTACCAAGCCGCTAAAGATGCCGGTTTTAGATTTGTGGAAAGTGCTTTTCCTCATGGCGTAGACAAAGGGGAGGTAACTAAGGCTAAAGACAATGCAGGAGTAGAACAAATTCTGATGAATGCTCACCAAGGTTTGTTCTCAGACAATTTCAGAACTTGAAATGAGAAATTTGCAGTTATCAAATAATTTTTTTGAGAGCATATTATCTAGCCATAATTTAATGACAGTTATTTTATGAATCTGCGTAAACAAGAGTTGTCTCCCATTAGTTGTCTTTTACTGATCTGCATTAAGCTTTTAGACACCTCAGTCTATAATATTCTTTGGAAAACACTTTAAGCTGATTAATACACCAGACTAGGAAAATACTTCAAACTAGGAATTTTACTCACTATTTCTATATATTTCTTTTCTATATATCACAGAGTATCTTAAATTGACGAGTTGTCATTTTAAGATAAAAACTGCAGATAATTCTGAACACACATGGATTTGAAGGCTCGAATTTCGACAGTGAGCTGTGAACACTATTACTGATTATGTAAGCTTCTGAATGTAAAATATGATTGGTCAAAAAAATGGCCTACCTGTCCCTTAAACCATTTAATGATTTTATTATCAGAAAACAATATGACTTTTTTTCAGGTGACCCAGCTAAAGGTGATTTGGGAATCTCTGCCATTCCTGGAAGAGAAGAGGAATTCAAAGATTCACTGGAACGCTCTATTCAATATGCCCATTCCTTGAAATGCCAAAAGTAAGTTATCAACTTTGAGTGTTTTTAGAAACATGAGGCTCTTTCAGCGCAACAGGGGAGTCACAGTGGCTCAGTTTGTTGGAGGCTTGCTGCTCGATAACCTGAAAGTTAAGGGTTTGATCCAAGCCTAGGTTGAGATATAGAGTGATTTAGAAAAGAGGTTTCCCCTGTCAGTGATGCTGATCAGAGGGGATGACTTTGAAAAAGCATCTAGTTCTCCAGATAGGACACTGGTGCTACTTTAAGATCCCTAAGAAAGGTTAGGTTAATGCCCCTTTCCTGCCAAAATTTCCCTTATTGCACACTGCATGGCAAGGTTACCTAAGTATAAGCGTTATGTTTTCTCAAAAAATACCAAAAAAGGTAGGCTATGAAAGCGTCAAGGGGGTTTATAACTGAAAACTGTTGTGCTATATTTTAAGAATACATATCATGGCTGGTTTAAAGGGAGATTACAGTATTGATGAAATGGAGAAAACATATTTAAATAATTTACAACACGCTGCATCTAGACTACAACAGGTATCTTGCTAAACTTTGTTGTTTTCCGAAGAAATTCCCTTTCCAATTACAGAGAGGATTGTAACTTTAGATTCCCAGCGGTTTGATTATTGTCTGCTAGGTGACATGTCATTTTATGTGAAGGTGCCTTTGGTCCAGTTTAACCAGCTATATCTCTATGGCTGCTAACAACGGTACGGATAAGATAAGACACAATAGGCACGCTAGTTTTTGTGTTTTTTTTAAAAGAATGAAGTCATTTTGATTGTCAAGAATGATATAAAGTATATGTTACCATTTAGTTTAAGATGTTTTATGATGGTGTAAAATCGTCTGCCTTTGAATTTATAATAGTTTTGCCCTCTTCCTCTTAAATATTTTGTATCCAGTTATCATTTAATTTTAACATATCTTTAAAGAATTGATTATGTTTTGTATGTATTATTTATAGGAGAATATCGTAGGGTTAATTGAACCAATAAACAACAGAATATCAGTTCCCAAATATTTTCTCTCAGACTTTAATAAAGGTAATATTTTATCATTTCATAAATATCTTTGATAAATTGTGGCCTAGTGTGCTGGAATATTCACAATGTCAAACTATTACAAACTTTGTCTTATACCAAGACTGCAATAGCCACCTTTCTTATATCACAGAAGTTTGTAAATGTAGTTGTTGATTGGATTGTACACTAGAGAATACAGCCAATCAGAGTAAAGACAGAATATTTTGCTGTGTGTACCTGTTTTATTCTCTTATGTTTATCTTGTATTTTCAGCTGTAGAATATATTAAATTCATTGATAGTCCAAATCTAAAACTGCAACTTGTAAGTTATGATCTTTTCTCATTTTTATAATCTACGACAAATTGAAAATAGCTGAGAGTATCTAGGTGATGTCTGAATGACATAGAAAGAGCACCTGACAAAAAACCAAGGCTACAAGATGTGTTGTACAAGATATGTTGTACAAGATGTGTTGTACAAGATGTGTTGTACAAGATGTGTTGTACAAGATATGTTGTACAAGGTGTGTTGTACAAGATGTGTTGTACAAGATGTGTTATCAGGTAGAAATTTCATAAGAGAAGTCCATTCCCCTCTTTGCACCTTGTCATCGTCTTGGGTTCATCTCGGAAACAAAAGTAGGATGTGAAACTCTGTTTAGTTGTCAATATCATATTAAAGTTTAGATAAACATAATATATTAATGATCTCCTGTTAACTTATAGGATATGTTTCATCTACAAGTTATGGAGGGTAATTTAACTAATAATATTAAACACTTCTTACCATTTATAGGTAAGTCAATGATATAATTTGTAGATTTTTTGATAAACACATTGTGGGCTTATATCTTTCTGAGGGCAATGGTAAGGTTTATTTTTAGTCTGTTTGGTAAATTTGATTATTTTCATTCGTTCTGTCACAGATTTCTCCCTAATTGTTTACAAATTTCATGTATAGACTGAATAACTTCATAAAGTTAAAGTATTAAATAGTTAGATCATATGAAGGGAATTTAAGTTACTAAGAACTTAACGCAGACAATAAGTCAGCCCTTTTAGAAGTAATTAAGACACTAGTGATTGAATGAAAAACTTTTTCTTTATCTTGGATTATTCTGCAGCTGAAACCTTTGCTTTAAAGGGACATGTTCGCCATTCGATTAACCGATCGTACCTAAGTCTCAGAAACGTCTCAGAAAAGCTAATCAGTCCTGATGTACAAAATTATCGATGTTCGAAAGTTAAAAGACCGTCCTTTCTTGAAACTAGGTCATATATAGAAAATACATATATACAAATAGAATCTGAAATTCCTAGTATTATTTTTATTTTGTACCCTGGAATTATTTACTGTATATTTGTAGGTCATATACAGATAGCTCAAGTTCCAGCACGAGGGGAGCCAAACACTTCCGGAGAAATAAACTATCGTTATATTTTACAGTTATTATTAGATTCAGGTTATGATGGTTATATAGGTTTAGAATACAAACCTTCAGGTTAGTACCATCTTCACAATGTCAAGCTATTACAAACTATATCTTCACAATGTCAAGCTAATACAAACTTCATCTTCACAATGTCAAGCTATTACAAACTATATCTTCACAATGTCAAGCTATTACAAACTTCATCTTCACAATGTCAAGCTATTACAAACTTCATCTTCACAATGTCAAGCTATTACAAACTTCATCTTCACAATGTCAAGCTATTACAAACTATATCTTCACAATGTCAAGCTATTACAAACTATATCTTCACAATGTCAAGCTAATACAAACTTCATCTTCACAATGTCAAGCTATTACATACTTCATCTTCACAATGTCAAGCTATTACAAACTTCATCTTCACAATGTCAAGCTAATGCAAACTATATCTTCACAATGTCAAGCTATTACAAACTATATCTTCACAATGTCAAGCTAATACAAACTTCATCTTCACAATGTCAAGCTATTACATACTTCATCTTCACAATGTCAAGCTATTACAAACTTCATCTTCACAATGTCAAGCTATTACAAACTATATCTTCACAATGTCAAGCTATTACAAACTATATCTTCACAATGTCAAGCTAATACAAACTTCATCTTCACAATGTCAAGCTATTACATACTTCATCTTCACAATGTCAAGCTATTACAAATTTCATCTTCACAATGCCAAGCTATTACAAACTTAGTACATATATCTTGACCCATCTTCACAGTGTCAAGCTAATGCAAACTTCATACTTATACCTTGACTTCAATAGTCACTATTCTTGTATCACTGAATGCAGTGATTGGATTGTACACCAGTGAATATAACCAATCAGAGCCCTTGACAGTCAAGGTATAAGTACAAAGTTCGTAATAGCTTAATGTTGTGAAGATGGGGCAGAAAGAACACTACATTTTCACCGCCCATAACTCCCCTGGGAGCAGCCTTGGCTGAGTGAATTAATTTCCAGGTTTCCTTTAAGGTGCCTCAATCAAACCTCATTTTTATTATGTTATTTTTATCAGGTGACACAGTAAAAGGGTTGAAATGGTTGGAAGAATTTGGATATAAATTGTAGTCCTAGAGTCTGATGTCACCCTTATGAAACACCTGATGGTATTTTGTGACTGGATTGTCAACTCTTCCATCCCCAGCAAATTATCATATTATGATTCGTTCAGTTTGTCAATGGATAAGGTATCAGAGATATGATATAAGAAATTGATTCAGAAAGTATAATTTTATTGTGTTAATCTAATGAATAAGAAAGATCAATCCTAGTATATGTTTGATAATAATTTGATGTTAGAATCAGAATAGTCCAAGACTCCAAGACTATCTGGATAAGGATGCAGATGAAGAAAGTGATTCGGGAGTATAATTTTATCATGTATAGTAAAGTATCTAATCTAATTATGATGATTTTAAATTGAACTTGTGTGAGATGATTTTAAAAAGTAAATGATATATCTTTTGATTCATATGAGAGAAATATTAAAAGAGAACCTGAAACATGTTGTTATTCAGAGTTTCACGCTGTACGCTTCAAACGACTGACCTTTTTCAGCCTCTACTATATTTGATGTATCATCACTATTTTAACAGTGAAAATATTTTATTATCGTGTGATTTAATTCATTTATTTGCATTTTACAAAGATATATTTTATTGTTATTTTCATACAGTAAATTTGTAATAATTTCATTTTTCTTAGCTTTATGATTTCCTAAGTGCAATTACAATAATGATTATTATTTACAAAAATATACAATTCTTGTGTGAACTGGGTGTATTTCAAATGTAAATCAGTAAATCTTACATTTCTATGGATAAAGATTATCTAAGACAACTAACATGCAATTGAAATTTTTATGTTTATGACAAAATTCTTTTCTAAACTAACTGTATTTTCACAATGTCAAACTATTACAAACTTCATCCTATACCTTCACTGCAATAGCCATCTTTCTTGTATCACAGAAGATAGCTAATGCAGTGATTTGATTGGATTGTATGCCAGTGAATACAGCCAATCAGAGCCCACGACAGAAAGGCTGTTAATATTATGGCTTTGTGTTCACAGACTTTCTGTTAAGGCCTTTGATTAGCTGTATTCCCTAGCATATAATCCAATTAAATAGCTTCATTTACAAACTTCTGTGATACAAGAACAGTGGCTATTGGAGTCAAGGTATAAGACAAAGTTTGTAATAACTTGACATTTTGAAGTTAAGCTAACTGTTGTCAGAGAAGCTCTGGCCTAGATAACAAACAAGAAGAGTCAATTGTTTGAGAGAGTTAATGAAAGGGGAAGTAATCTGCCATGGACTATGTAAGTCAGGTCTCATGTTTGTACCAGTGTATTAGAATTAAACTTTTGTTCTGTTTTTATACACCCACGTCTCTCTATGTGGACGTATATTGTCCTCACTCCTGTCCGTCCGTCCGTCCGTCCGTACATCCGCCCGTAGGTCCGTCCGTCAACATTTGCTTGTAAACGCTCTAGAAATTAGAATTTTGATTTTTTTCAGTCAAAATTTGACTTTTATGGGTTGATATTTCTAGGAGAGAAATGCGTTTCTTTTCAATGTAAACTTACAAAAGATTATATTTTTATCAAGGCAAAGACATTCTAAGACTATCAGTACTATTTTGAGGCTGATATTCCAATTCTCTTAAAAAATATTGAAAAAATTCAAAAAAACTTTTTGATTTGCTCTGACAATAGCTAGCCTATATATAATAAAAAACATAAGGAATATTATAGTATAATACACATTTGGACTTTGTTATTAAAGAAGAGAGTAACCATGAAAAATACGGACGACTGTTGATTGAACACCGGTTATTATCCTAAAATATGATTGAGCTAGAATAAAAAGCAGTACAGCCAATCGAACCAGAACGCCCGAGTACAGGTAATTTGTGAAGTACACGGTCTGGTACAAACAATCGAACACACTTTAATTATACGAGCAGGTATCCTGCATTTGATTGGTTAATATTCATGGTGTCTGAACAAGTAAACCAATGAAATGAGAGTAAATTTAACATGAGAAGGAATGGTTGTCAACACTGACTGACAGTTAGACTCATGTAACAAGATATCTTGCCGGCAAATTAATCATGGATCTTCCGATTAATATTTTGGTTTATCTGGCTTTGCCAGCCCTGTTATCTTTTTCTTGGATAAAGTATCGAGGTCTGGAATATGTTTTGATCCACTACCGATGGGTTTTTGTGTGCCTGTTTCTCTTACCGGCATCAGTTGTCTACGATACCATCATTTTTGTCAGGAATTGGGTGGTGTTCCACTTCAACTCGGCACCAAAGCAGCACGAAAAGAAAGTACAAAACGTGCAACGGCAGGTAAAGTAACAAAATTTTATCCAGTGAACTATATTTTCAAATATTCGCCGTTGTTTTGTAGACAGTTGTCAATTCGAAAAACACATGTGGTCTTATTTTACCACGTTCAAGTTCATGGCATAAATTATTTTACAATTCACTAACTGGGCTCATGCACTGTTATTCAGTAGGGGAAAGTTGGATGAATTCGGCTATGTACTTTAAACAAAAGAACTGTTTTGTGGTCGTTGAATATGTTGAAATATTATTATAAGACAAAGAAATAATGAATGAAAGAAATTTATTTTGCATTAAATTCCCAACAGACATGATAGATACATAGGCCTACAGCCAAATGAATACCAATAGTCTATAGCTCCAGTCAGACATGACTGGTAAATACAGTCAAATAGACCGTTTAGAGCTCTAGTCAGACATGACTGGTAAATACAGTCAAAATAACAACCTAAAAATATTCCCTAGTCTTAAAGAGATTGTAAAAAAGGTTTTGGGAATTTTTTTATGTGTATCGGGGACACTGATAGCATAGGTTTGCACCATTCCAATGGTTCCTACAGAGGAATAGCTCAGTCGGTAGCGAGGTTGGAATGGTGTCTGCTAGGTGATTAGGTGCCGTGAGTTTGAATTCTGATGCCTGTGCTTTCTAGATTCGGCCTGGAATCACCCCCTATTAATACTAAAACCAAGTGTTTCACGACGTCACTAATCACGAAATGTGCTTCAGTGTCCCCAATACACATAAATTGGTTTAGACGTAACCAGCTAGGGGTTTGATATAAGTTTATCTGTAAAAGTAAAAACTGAAAGACACGAGATATGACATGTTAGTCAGAAGACAGTTCAAAGATTTATGATGATTTGTTTATCATTACTGACCTACTACTACTATTATTGATTATATGTATATCTATTATTATTATTATTATTAAAACTGACCCTACCAATCACCCAACCTAATCTATAGATTCACATTATTCAAATATTTTATATCATAGATAACTTCATCCTGGTCTAAAGAAGTATTTTATATATGTGAAAATTTAAAGTCATAACTAGTGCTTATGTTTTTATTTTTATCAACTCAAAAGACATTTTAAGACTTACTGTACTACTTTGAGGCTGATATTCCAATTCTCTTCAAAAATATCGAAAAAATTAAAAAAACCTTCTTGATTTGCTCTGACAATAAAAGTGAGAACAAAAGAGAGATTTTGACTTTTTATCTGTAACTTTATAACAAAACAGTGAATTCTCTATTTTAAAGTAATATAGCTTCTATTTCAAAATTTAATCTTTTTTATTCGCTTAGAATATCGCTCCACCAAAAATCTGAAATTATTGATGCATTTACATTTTACATTGATGAAATATTTCATGTATAATATTGGCCGTATTTTTGTAGACAGTTGTCAATTCGAAAAACACATGTGGTCTTATTTTACCAAGTTCAAGTTCATGGCATAAATTGGGCATCATCATAACTTTCATTTGTTCAGTATCACGTGACTTTGTGACCCTTGAACTTTTGGCTACCAGTCAATTTAAATGATCAGAAATCAGTTTCGTAAAAAAAAACTCTGATGTAACCGGAGACATGATGTAAATGGTGTAGGGGGATTATGATTATATGAATGAACTACAAAATACATCTTCCCAAATATTACAATCATGGTTTGGTGGATCAGCTTTAAATAAATAAGATTAAAACCGCTAAAAATTCATACAAAACCGTGCCTTATTTTTCTGACTACAACAGCCGACAACTTGCAAAATAGGCTGGAATAGAGGCAGATGTTTTGGTCTAGTGTTCATGAATGACTTACTATATTTATCACACAATAACAACGTTTTCGTTCTGTGCATTTTAATTTTTTTTTTAATCAATTCACAATTTCATAAAACTACACTTGCCATTTTGTTTCATTAGGAGCACCATATGTATACCTTTCACAAGTATTTCTCTATAAAAAGTTTATATTAAATTTAATTGATTTTGAAGTCTATTGTATTGAGCTGTCTTTTAAAACCTGCTCAAACAATCTTCTATTAGTCTATTCCTTTCACCAATTTATATCAATATTTCTTATTCTCTTTTAATAAAGTTACTTGTTTACATTGTCGTTAAAGTTTCTATTCAACACGAGCGTCTATTGATAAAGTTTCTATGAAAAAGTATGAAAGTTCAATAGGATTAAATTAGAAAGAAAAAATGTTCGTTTGATTGAAAGTTTCAATCGATATTTTATTTGATTGAAATGATCAATCAATCCTAATTTCATTGTGATATTAAGGTGATCTATTCCAAGAGTACATTTTCTGACTTTTTGTCGAAGTGACCTGTGATATTTTGCTTTCTTTGTGTTCGTTTCCTTTCCGTTTTCTTGAAGCTAAATTGGACACTATAGAAATTACCTAAAAATGGCCTGGAAGGTCATAATTCAGCATTATCAAAGTTTTCATTGAGCTGTAAATAATGTTCAGAAGAACCAGAACTGTAGGAAAATCGCATTATTTCTTCAAAAATATCTCAAAACTAGGAATTTCTTTGTTTCTTTCACTATTTTCTTATCAAATTGATGCATTCCAATGCTGAAATCAATAGTCTCTACTTGTGTCCTAGGCCAGTGCTTCTATAAGGGAATATCTCTTATAGAACCTAATACTAGTTAGGTGTTAAGATAAATACATGTCCGTTTTCTCGTGATTTGAGTAGATAGATATTTCTTGATTTTTCTACCTGTGGTCGAAGCAGGATGATAAGGATCAGATCTGTTGAAAATGTTTTTCACAAGAATGTTAGAAACTGTGAGAGAAACTGTTAAAAACTGTTAAGAAGCCTAGAGGATATTCACACTTGGTAATAGAGAAGGTATAAAGTGATCAGAGAATTATCACAGTTATACCAGTAATAATCTAATATAATCTCAACATATCTTGTTGATAAAACACCAGGTAGTTATTAGATTGTATATATCTTCATACACATGATTAACACTCATTTTCTCTCTTCTTACAAGGTTTACCTGCTTCAGTTAAACATGGTAGAAATCTGAATACATGATAGAGTTGTAAGCGAATTTGTACTATCAAAGTTTCTATTATTGAAAGAGACCCCAGCTGTCAATGTTCTTGATATGGCTGTCATTCATTCATTTGATCATTGATTATTTATTTGATAATGCATTTAGTTGTTCATTCTTTCATTCATTCTTTCCGTCATTTGTGCATCTATTCATTTCTGTATACATTTATTCATACATTCATTAATTTAGTCATTTATTCAATTGTTCATTAAGACATTCTTGCATTCTCGCTTTCATTCATTCATTTATTCAATCATTCATTTATTCAATCATTCAATCATGCATTCATTTATTCATTTATTAAGACATTCTTGCTTTCATTCATTCATTCATTCCCTAGAAATCCAGACAGAAGGCCATGGTTGAAATATTAACGAGTTAACTAACTAATCACAATCTAATTATGGCAATTCTGTTGGAATTTAGCCAAGTATTAATGTTAGAAATAATGTCATAATTCTATACAGACTTGTAAAAAAACATGATATTTGAAATATACTGAAATCTGATAAATATAGATATTACAATATATTCTCCAAAATTCTCTCTTACACTTTATAATCTATATCCTGTTTTAAAGTATTTATTTAACAGTGAAAATATTTAATTATTGTCCTTTTTAAAAGTATATATATATATGTATATAATTAAAACGATATTATTTGTTTGACATTAGGGTTTGTTTCATCATTATCACTTTCAGAGAGTCCACATAGCTACTGTCTTCTCACAGTTTTGGCTATTTTACATTTTACCGAATTTTATCAAAAGAATTGAACATTACCTTCAAAATAGTGCACTTCTTTTTGTTGAAAAAAATGTAAACAATTTGTATCTACAGATGGCAAATTCTAAGTCAAAATTTGACTAATTTCTTACATTATGATTAGTACTTTTAAGATAATATCCTACAAAAAACAAACATTTGATTTGCAGAAGAAAATTCAAAGACAGTAAATTTTATTTTAATCTTCGAACGACATAATTTAGAAGTTGAGAGCCCATAAAACACAAAAAACAGAAGGGAATATATTATGGTATAACACACTTCTTTAAACACAATGTACATAACGTTTCAACACAGTTTACATGAGTTGTCATCAGATATAATGAGGGAAAAAACATTAAAAAAAATTATATAAGCACATAATGTTTCAACAATTTACACATGTCGTTATTTCAGATGAAATATTTTTTTTGTAATAGGGAAATAATTTTGTTATTTACATATCGTATAGAATGTTTAGTCAGGCCTGAATTTATCTGGGGCTTTATTTTCTAAAACTCAACTTAAAATGATTTTAGTATGTTTTAGATTTTAGATTTGATGTCAATCATTAAAATTGATTTTAAATTCAGTTTTATCATCCAATCAGATTACTGTATTTCTTAGAATCTGGATTTTATTTAAGTTAAGTTTTCGAGAATAAAGCCCCTGGTTGTATCTCATGATTTTTACCATTGTAGTAGTGGTAGTGTATCGCGCGAAACAGACCATGTTTACTCTTTTCAAAACACCCGATGGAACTTCTCTTTGGAGGAGACCACTACTATACAACTTTTACTCTTGATTTTGCTATACTTGGGATGAGATTTTGATTGATGGAATTGTCTTGCTTGTACAGATTTTTTATTTATATACATGTCTATTTCTAGGTACGAAAGTGGAAGAATGAGGGGAGCGTGGTTCCAATGTGTACAGCCAGACCGGGGTGGTCTAATATTAGTTTCCGACGAGGACTCTACAAGAAGAGATTACGGAATATCGAAGTGAATTTACTGGATATTTTATCGGTGGATATAGAGAAAGAAATTTTACATGTTGAACCTCTAGCTACTATGGGACAGATTACAGCGTTTTTAAATCCTCTAGGATGGACATTACCAGTTTTACCTGAACTAGATGATCTTACTGTCGGTAAGTCAAATTTATATTTTTGATGCCCATGTTACCAGACGATTGGTGACTTCTGCTCTTCATTGATTTATAATTGAAATGAAATGAAATGAATGGAGTTTTACGTCCTACTTTTCTGCACCATGTGGGCTAATGAAGACGGGCAACGCCATGCAAGGTGCAATGAGGGAAATTTTTCGATTTCCAACTGTCAATGGATCTTTAACGTGCACAGCCTGTAGCACACAGGACCGCGGTTTATTGATTTATAGAATCTACAGAACATTCAATAAAACAAGTTGGAGCAGAGTTCAGAATACGTTGGTGCAGACAGAATTCAAAATGGTAGAGAAGGGAATAGAAATTTTGAATGTGACATCTCAACTTTCCAAAAAATCAGACTTCACCTTTAAACTAGAAATATCAGTTTATTTGAATTTGATATTGGATTTGAGAAGACATTTAGAAGTGAGGAGTATAAATCACAAACATAAGACAATATTATAGATTAAACACACTTCTTTTATAAATTAATATTCATCTGATGACAACACGTGTATATTGTGATGAAACGTTACGGTGTTTAATTTTATTCTATAATATTTACATTTTATTGTCACATGTTACAGTGAACCCATGTGAAAAATTTGCATTCATTTACCAATGAACTACAAATTTTTGTCTGATGTTTGTGATTTATTTCACTTGAAACTCAATAGATGTTGGAAAAATTTCTATTTTTTATTGTCACCAGATATATCTAGAAATATTCAGAATTATCAACCAGAAGAAGCCTGTTTCCCAATCCTTTTTATAACTTATATTTTTGAATATATTTGTGTATGAAATATTAAACATTTTTTAAAAAAAAAATGTTGTCAACCATGTAGACTCTCTGAATAGTCACCTGTAAGCCAAGAACAAAAAACTGTAGTCATAACAATTTCAGGTCTGATAACTCTTTTATATCAAGTGAGGTAGGGTAGATCCCTTTGTATTAACAGTGTTGTTGCCAGTTGTATTTCACCTTGAAAATAAATAAAAAGTTGTCCTTTATGGAAAAATTGGGTAGTAAATCAAATTTTAATTTTATTTTATATAAAATACATACACCAAGTGGGGTAGACCCCCCTTCATGTTGACGATGTTGGTGACAGTTATATTTTACTTTGTTGTCTTAGTACATAAAAAGTTGCCCCTTATGGACTCTTTTTTCAAATTAAGATGATTTTGAACTTGTCAACAGATACTTTTTTCAGAGAGTCCACATTGATAATAAATTTTAATGAATATTAAGGTTTGTAAACTCAGCGTCACTTTCTTTATTATTTGGGTTTGTCATCTAGACATCTCTTTCAGAGAGTCCACATAGCTAATAATTTTTGTGTGGTATTTAGCTAATAATTATAATAACTATTTTGTATTTGGGTTTGTTAACTTGACATCCCTTACAGGGAGTCCACATAGTTGACAATGTTTATTAGATATTTAGGTTTGTCATACCCCTTTCTGAGAGTCCACAAGTATGATATATTTTTTATTTGCTTGACTAAGTCTTTAGAATTTAGAATTTTATTATACCATTGAGTGCTATTGTCAGTACAGTACAGTGTGGTCAGTACAGTTTAGTACAGATAGTTCAGGGCTAGACATTCGCTTCTTTTTATAGTCAACTTGCGCAGTTATTGCACCGAATTATCAGTCTTGTCAGGGTGTTAAAGGGATTGTAAAAAGGTTTTTCTAAAAATTTTATGTGTATCGGGGACACTGATAGAATCATATTGCACCATTCCAATTTTTAGTATGTGGTTACTGCAATTCCAATAAAACTAATCACGAAGGGCTTTATTTCATAAAGCATATTTTATTGATTAGTAATGTCAGGAACCACAGATGTCTGATAGAAAATTGGAATGGTGCAAATTGATGGAATCAGTGTCTCCAATACACATACAAAATTTCAGTAAACATCTTTACAATCTCTTCAAATTGTCTGACTGGTGAAAAAAAATGAAGCAATAGCACTGATTCTCAGCTACCCATAGGATAGCCAAAGACCTCATTTAACCATCAGATATTGGTGAATCGATATTGCAGTTAGATATACAGCAATATGCTATTGTATCCTATAAAATCATGAAATGATACCAGCCAAAGACCTCATTTAACCATAAGTAGTTAAGTTGATATTGTATTCTATAAAATCATGAAATGATACCAGGCAAAGACCTCATTTAACCATAAGTAGTTAAGTTGATATTGTATTCTATAAAATCATGAAATGATACCAGGCAAAGACCTCATTTAACCATAAGTAGTTAAGTTGATATTGTATTCTATAAAATCATAAAATGATACCAGGCAAAGACCTCATTTAACCATAAGTAGTTAAGTTGATATTGTATTCTATAAAATCATGAAATGATACCAGGCAAAGACCTCATTTAACCATAAGTAGTTAAGTTGATATTGTATTCTATAAAATCATAAAATGATACCAGGCAAAGACCTCATTTAACCATAAGTGGTTAAGTTGATATTGTATTCTATAAAATCATGAAATGATACCAGGCAAAGACCTCATTTAACCATAAGTAGTTAAGTTGATATTGTATTCTATAAAATCATGAAATGATACCAGCCAAAGACCTCATTTAACCATAAGTAGTTAAGTTGATATTGTATTCTATAAAATCATGAAATGATACCAGCCAAAGACCTCATTTAACCATAAGTAGTTAAGTTGATATTGTATTCTATAAAATCATGAAATGATACCAGGCAAAGACCTCATTTAACCATAAGTGGTTAAGTTGATATTGTATTCTATAAAATCATGAAATGATACCAGGCATATCTGATAAAAACTTGATATCTTATAAATATATGAAAAGTTTCATTTATAGAATAAACTTAATAAATTACCAGTGATATTATTCTGTTTTAATTTAAAATATACAGTTGTAAATAATCATTCAAAGTTTTAAAGGGACAGGTGTGGCATTTTTGGGAGTTGATTTGGACCTTGAATATATGTACATACGTCATAGCCTTCAAAACTACCAAAACTATGCAAAAATCTCATAGTTCTTTCTAAAATTACGGGTATCCGAATTTAAACGTCTTGATGATATAGTCTCTTACACCAAGACATCTTCCGTCACAGCTCTGCGTGAGACAGGATGATTGAATCTACTGTACAAACATGACGTCATATGATGACGGATATTCAAAATAAAAATGACAACTCATTAAGATAGGTTTCAAACAAAGATAATTCTGGATACACGTGGATTTGAAGGCTCAAATTTCGACAGTGAGCTGTGAACACTATTACTGATTAGTTTAGTGGAACAATTCACATTTCTGAAACCAAGGTATGATTTATCTCAGAAATACTGCACCTCGACATTTTGAAATTGCAAAAGAGCAGATTAATGCAGCTTTCCTGGCAAAATTTTCCTCATTGCACCCTGCATGACTTTGCATTAGCCCACATGGTGCAGAAAAGTAGGACGTAAAACTCCTTTCATTTCATTTCAGAAATACAGCACCTCTCACTTTAATTTTAAATATTGTATTATATTTATGAAATCATGTCCCTATATCACTGTATATATCATTTATAAATCTTGTATAGTGACATGTATAACATTATTGAAAAATGAACAGTGGTAAAATTTAAATATCATTCAAACTTTATATTATATTTATTGTGGGGCACAATGACCTATAGGGGGGGGGGGGGGGGAGGGACAGTTGTCAAGGTTGAGATTCTGAATGGAAACGCTGAGCATTTAGGTGCAAAACCTCCCTTGGAGAGTCTAAAAGGGGGTATCCTCGAGAAAATTTGTGGAAAATAGTTATATTGGGGCAAAAGAGTATAAACATTACAAATGAAGTTTGTGATACAATAAGGGGTACAAACCAGTTTTCTAGGGCAGCAAATGGTTGTATTCTCTAGGGAACAATCCAATCAAATTGCTGCATTCAGTGATACAAGAAAGGTGGCTATTGAAGTCAAGGTATTAGACACAATTTGTGATAGCTTGACATTATGAAGATGCATCTCACCAAGTCTGTTGTATTACAATTAAAGATAATATTTTTTGAATAATTTGAATTCTTATAATAAAAGAAGTAAAATTTTAAAATGTTCTGTTAAAAAGTTAATTTAGAATAAAACAACAAAGTTAAAATGTGATCAAAACATAAATATGTCTAAAATAACAAAAGGAAATATAAACTGGGTGGTCTACGTAACGGTAGTGAAAGAATAGAAAATGGTTTATTTTAGAAAAAATGAAGAGGAAGAACAAATTTTAAAATATAAAATAAAAGCAAAAAGAAAAACAAGTCAAAAAAACTTTATAAAGACATGCCTGGTAATATAATAATATATAATATTAAACATTTCATTTAAAGGAACACAGGCACAATATTTTTTTTTTTACAAATCATCGTACTTTAGTTTCAGAATCTGGAATTTTTTAGCTAATCTAATCAGTAATAGTGTTTACAGCTCACTGTCGAAATTTGAGCCTTTCAATTCAATTTTTCCAGAATTATCCTAGTTTGATGTATCTTTGAAGGAATTAAGTGATACATTTCTAGTACTTCTGAGGACTATCTACATATATTCAAGACTCAAATCAACTCCCGAAAATGGCACATCTGCCCTTTAAGATAAGTTGAAAACCATCCAAACTTAATATAAAATAGTAGGAACTATAGTTAAAATAGAAACAAGTAGTAGTGGTAGGATGTTGTTGGCACTGTATTGTAATATGGTAATATCCTGCCAAGATAAAACAGATAGTTTACACACCTAGATAGTACTGTAACATTGATTATAATTCTTAGTTAAAACTTGTAAATAATTATTAAAATCAGTGCCAAAGATAAATATCACTGGTACAATTCAAAACATACAAAACACAACCTGTATATTTTTATCTATCTTCACACATTATCTGACATCAACTAAATTTACACCCTCTAGGAAGTCTGCTTTAAACCGCTATAACCAAGTTTTTATGTAAATTAAAATAAAATATTAAAACAGAACCTAAAAAAATAGAGTTCCATGCGATCTTCAGAAAACTGATCTATTTTAACCTGAGTCCCTACTGAAGTTTGACAAGTAGAGATCTTCAGACAACTGATCTATTTAAGCCTGCATCCCTACTGGAATTGTAAATTAAAATGATAATAATATGGTTATAATATAGAATATAGAAAATGATATATGAAATACTGGTATATTTTATATTTTGTATTCAAACATCAAAAACTTGTCAGACCAGATCAAGATTACTGTCCCGTCAAATTTAACCTTCATATCTTTTATTAACACTTGAGGCTTTCATATCTTAAACATAGACTCCTTTTCTTTCATTAGATATATATTAAAGTGGTTTTCTGCTTTTTTGTAAAAAGTTTTCATTATCAAAAACACTGTAAATTACACCTGAAAGTATGTTATTTATATCTATGAATGTACTTGATCAAACTGAATTTGTTTTAAAAGAGTTAATTAAAAACGGAGAGTACTAATTGGTAATTAGGAAGTTTCACCTAGTTTTGGCTGTATAATAGTGCGATATTAAACCTTTAGAATACGTAGGAGATATATTTCTCTACAATTAGAGACTCAAATCCGTACAGTAGTTTTCAAACAGCCTCCAGAAAGCATAACAAACATAAAAATCTTACATAATGTTTTTAGATATTTTTGGCTTTTGGAATTAACGGATGTATTGTTTAAGTTTAAACTTCCAGATACGATAAAGGATAAATTTCTCTAGATTTTGGTGTATAGTTTTCACAAATTAAACAAAAAAAAATTTCGGTCTACAAAAAAAGTAGAATGACCCTTTAATATCTTTTATCAATTGATTTTGATGATAGATCAGTAGATAGGACGATGTAATAGTTGAAAGGGTTGGGTGTACTCTTCAATTCAAGGGTTAGGTCGAAGTAAATAATTACCCTACATGTATGAATGAATAAACAAATATTGATGAATAAATAGACTGATTAGATCTTAACTTGTTATAATCGTGTTGAGTTTTAATTATAACGTACTTTTCTCTACATACATCTGGAAAATCTCAGCAATGTGCCTGAAGTTGAATCAACCATTATAATGAATTTAATGAGTATTTGTGTCTTCTGACATGTGTCTAGGGCCCAAACTCCATCAAGGCAAAAGAGGCACATGCCTCATGCTAAATTTGACCAAAAGAAACTTTTTGAAAAAAATTAAATTACAAATACATCAATAAAAAAAAAGGATTTTTGTTATAGTTATTGATGAATGTTATAGATCAGCTTAATCGTCTATTGAACGCGTCTGAAACTATTACATATTTGCTACCGTGTTTCACTTCAGTAGGTAAATCTCGTAACTATCTTACTGTTACAATTCACCTGTAGATCAAGTATTAAACAATAACCATGGATACTGTATTTTTTATTTTTCAGGAGGTTTGATAATGGGAGTAGGAATTGAAACTTCCTCACATAAAAAAGGTTTATTTCAACATTGTTGTACAGAGTTTGAGTTGGTTCTAGCAGACGGAAGTGTTGTCACCTGTTCTGAGGTAAGTAACAATATATTGGGATTTTTTCTGATTTTACTGTATCTCAATAATTTTGGTAAACATATTCTCTGAGAAAGGTAACAGTGGTGGGATGGGTTTGAGTTTGACAATATTTTAATGAATTTGATATACATGTTCTAAGGTAGGTAGCAATTCTGGGATGGATGGGTTTGAATTTGACAATATTTTAATAAATTTGATTAATGTATGTTCAAGGTAGGTAGCAATGCTGGGATGAGTTCAAATTTGACAATATTTTAATGAATTTGATAGATATGTATGTTCTAAGGTAGGTAGCAATTCTGGGATGGATGGGTTTGAGTTTGACAATATTTTAATGAATTTGATAGACATGTTCTAAGGTAGGTAGCAATTCTGGGATGGATGGGTTTGAATTTGACAATATTTTAATGAATTTGATATACATGTTCTAAGGTAGGTAGCAATTCTGGGATGGATGGGTTTGAGTTTGACAATATTTTAATGAATTTGATAGACATGTTCTAAGGTAGGTAGCAATTCTGGGATGAGTTCAAATTTGACAATATTTTAATGAATTTGATAGACATGTATCTAAGGTAGGTAGCAATTCTGGGATGAGTTCGAGTTTGACAATACTTCAATAAATTTGATTTGAACATATGCTTTGAGGTAAGAAGTAATATTGGGATGGGTTCAAGTTTGACAATATTTGATAAATAGTGACTTTATATAGGCGGTAATTTTTGGGCCAAGCTGGGATGGGTTTGTATGTGTTTTACAATATACTGAATACTTTGGTAGTAGTGATAATAGATTGTGTTAATTAACCAGTTTTTTTAAATTAAACTAGTTGTTTTTGAATCTAACCATCTATAAAATGTAATATAGTATGGAATTAATATTGATTATAATTTAAAATGAATCAGTTTAAATTGTTTGTTAGATTGATAGGTTCATACTGAATATAGTTTGAAACATCTGCCTCTGATTTAATGTGTAATAGATATTGTAAACATTGTCGGCTGGAGTAGGCCCTGTTTTATGGAGATTTTCTCTATCTCTGAAGGTGCAGGTTTTCTTTAAGGGAAAGTTAACATGACGACTTGTCATTTTAAAATACATTGTGATATAAAGCAATGAAATATAGGGAAATAATAAAACCCTGACTGGCAAACATAGCAAAATCAACATCCTCTTGTCCATCTGTCACAGGTTATTACAAACTTTGTACTTATACCTTGACTACAATAGTCACCTTTCTTGTATCACATCTTCACAATGTCAAGCTATTACAAACTTTGTACTTCTACCTAGACTGTAATAACCACCTTTCTTGTATCACATCTTCACAATGTCAAGCTATTACAAACTTTGTACTTATACCTTGACTACAATAGTCACCTTTCTTATATCACATCTTCACAATGTCAAGCTATTACAAACTTTGTACTTATACCTTGACTACAATAGTCACCTTTTTTTGTATCACATCTTCACAATGTCAAGCTATTACAAACTGTTTCCTATACCTTTCATTATCTCTGTTTGAATGTTAAAATGACGACTCGTCAATTTAAGATATTCTGTGATATATAGAAAAGACATAAATAGAAATAGTGAGTAAAATTCCTAGTTTGAAGTATTTTTAAAGGAATTATGTGATTTCTAGTTCTTCCGAAGACTATTTACTTATATTAAAGACTAAAACCAAACCCCCCAAAATGGCACATCTGTCCCTGTAAGACATTTATTTTCCTCAAATACACCTCGCGCTCACTCTCAGATATCACTGCTACTTTTGTTTTGTTTCTATCACAGTACCCAGTGTCCATTGGTCCTTGAATGCTGAATAAACTTAAAAATATCCATCTCTCTGAGTTTTTTTTTGAGAGGTTTGGTGTAATCTAGATAAATAATTATGTCTAAACTCCAGTATCATCAGAGGTGCGAAAAATCCTCATAAAAAGGTGCAAAGTTTTTCTGACCCTCTAGCCGATAACTGTAAAAATAGCCTCGAAGACTGGAATAGAGGCAGACATTCGGACTATACCAAATTCATCTAACTGGAAAATCAATTTTCGTTGCATACAAGTTGCAAACAAAATCAATGTAATTGCCATTGCCCTGTAGTTAACAATGTATCACATTGTCAATATAATTAAAATACCTGTATTATATAGTTGTCAAGTGAGTCAATATAATTAAAGGGACAGGTGTGCCATTTTGGGAGGTTGATTTGACTCTTGATCACAGGTAAATAGTCTTTAGAAGTACTAGAAATGTACGAAAATCACATAATTCCTTTAAAAATGTCTCTAAATAACTAGGAATTTTTTTTCCTATTTCTATATATTTTCTATATATCACAGTGCCTCAAGAAAACCCAACTCGTCTTTTTAACTTTCTAACGCAGATAATTCTGGACACACATGGATTTGAAGGCTTAAATTTCGATAGTAAGCTGTTAACACTATTAATGATTAGCCGAGGTACAAAATTCACGTTTCTGAGACTAAAGTATGATTGGCCCATAAAATGGTGTATCCATCCCTTTAAACTAAATGTAATATATATATAGTTATAGTTGTATAGAAGTTAGAGAGACTAGAATGACATTTACTTTAGAAATTCTCTAACTAATGAACTTTTACAATTACTGATCATAGAGTGACACACCCAGTCATAATCTACATCAATTTATCTAGCTTGATTTCTCAAGATATGGTGGGGGGAGCCATGAGATATGGTGGGGGGAGCCATGGTGGCTCAGTGAGTTAGACGCTTGCTCACTAACCTGAATGTCCAGGGTTCAATTCCGGCATAGGTCGAGATAATACCTTCGGATTTTTCAACCCAGTTTCCTCCTGTCAGTGATTGAGGTAAGAGGGGCTGACATGGAAAAAGCGTCTTGTCGTTTGGATGGAACAATAAACCGAGGCCCCGTGTGCTACAGGCTATGCACGTTAAAGATCCCTCGACAGTTGGAAATCGAAAACGAGCAAGCTAATGCCGCTGTCCTGGCAAAATTTCCCTCATTGCACACTGCATGGAGTTGCCCGTCTTCATTAGTCCATAAGGTGCAGAAAAGTAGGATGTAAAACTCCATTCATTTTATCTCATTTCAAGAAAGGATGGGGGACATTAATAGCAAATGTGATTTCAAACAAAAGCTGTATAAGAGCCAGAATTTATTCCCTGTAATACTATTACTATTGGATGTTTGCTTCCATAATATGTTCATTTTACTTAAAATTGAATTACAATTTCTTTTTTCTCCCCATTATGATCTGACAATTTTTCCACTGCAGTGCCCGTTCTAGTGACATTATTATTAACCAATCAAAGCATTTCATGTACAGTTTCTTGAAAACAATCACAATTTGCTCTACTTTGGGTTTAGATATCCCAGAATTTTTCTTTGTTTTCAAGAAACATCATATCATATGCACTTTTAAATAATTCATCTTGTTTTCAAAATAAAATGAAGCCAAGATATTTTACTGTGACATTGGAATTGAAGTAGAGAGAAATTTCTTTGTTTATTACGTAAACATTGAGTTGTTGATATTGACAACACAACTACTGTTGTTTATCAAACACGATTGTTTACGCTTGTGATTACGCGACTCTTAAATAAACACGTTATTCACTGTAATCAATACATAGACAACAAATAAATCTTTAAAAATTTTCTATCTGCTCGAACTTCCTTCAAACGTTTTATTGTGCGTCAATATTCGTAGAAAAAGTTCCGAAATATTTTTTGATTTGTAAATATGAAACTTTGTATTTGAAAAAGAAAAATAGGAAATATAGACTGTCATTATAAGGATTGTGATTAAGTTGGTTTATTGTTTTGTTTCAAAGATTGTTTTCTTTCTTAATGTACTAATGAACAAATCAAGTGCAGGAATACTTCTGCTTATGCATTGGCCTTAAAAGGGATATGCACCTTTCTTTGACTGATCGTATCTTAGTCTCAGAAACTTAAATTTATTAGCTTAGCTAATCAGTAAAAGTGTTCACAGCTTACTGACGAAATTTGAGCCTTTAAGTGTCAAGTATTATCCGTATTTGAATGTTAAAATGATGACTCTTCAATTTATATATATAAATATATTGTTTAAACTTACTTGAATAAATATCTTGTGATGTTTCGACAATGTTACTTTTCTCTTTATCAAGCAATGATACAAAATAACAGAGTAATGAGAATATATATTCTGTGAATTGTTAGTAATTATTTGTTTATTACTATCTATTCTTATTGCTCTGCTATTTTGTATCATTGCTTGATAACGTTGCAAGTTATTTATTTAAGTAATTGTTATCTATAAAATGGTGTCCAGTACCGTTATTTAACTTAACATCTCTTTCATAGACTCCAAATAATTAATATCATTATCATTAGGTCATATACCTTTCTGTGTTTATTTATTTTCATCATCTACTACTTTCAGACAGAGAATACTGATTTATTTTACTCCGTTCCCTGGTCATATGGAACCCTGGGATTCCTCGTGTCAGCAAAGATGAAGATCGTTCCTGCTAAGAAATATGTAAAGATAGAATACGCTCCAGTTCATACGACAGACTCAATGATTGAGAAGTTTGAATCAGAATGTATGAAAAAGGAGGGAAACCAGTTTGTTGAATGTCTGGTTTATTCTAAAAATGAAGGCGTTGTCATGACAGCTAATATGACAGATGAGGCAGAAGAAGACAAGGTAATTTAATCAAATTGTAATATTCATGAAAATATTTCCAGTTTCCATTAAAAAAAAAATTAGCCTGAACTTTGAATCCATAAAATACTAATATTCCTATTACACCTGATAAATTTTGACCTGTCAGGTCCAGTACACTAGTGTGAATAGCCATTTGTTTTTGACATGTACTTGATGTCCTACAGTGTTTATTTTCAATTAGTTCAAGGGCTAACAGACATGGCCAAATTAACAGCCTTGGTACCAGACATGGTTCACATTATAGGGACCAGGTGTCAAAGGGATCCTGTGGCAAGATCGCAAGATGGGACAGCCAAAAAATTTGCTATTTGTATATTTCAGATAAACCGTATAGGGTACTATTATAAACCGTGGTTTTTTAAACACGTAGAAGGATTTTTAAAATCGGGACCTAGAATAGAATATATACCACTACGCCATTATTATCATAGACATACACGCAGTATCTTCTGGGAATTACAGGTAATTTATATTTATATACTTGGTATTAGAGGTGTATCAAGAAATTGTCTGAGGTGAGAGGGGTCTTTCGGAAGCGAGGCATTTTGTAATTTTTTTTTGAATTTTGGAATTTGCATGCTAGTGTCTTCATTAGGTAATGAATATAATGAACTAGTAATAAATATGATGATTATATTGTTTGTCTATTTGTAATTTGTTAATATTGTCTGTTAGTGATGTAGTTGTGGTCTGATAGAAAGTATATAAGAGTTATCTATGAGAGAAAGGGAGAGTGATAGAAAAATGTTATGAGATTGGTGAAGTTTATAACATGTGAATATTGTGGAATAAGAGTAAAACATTGTAGTATTATCAGTCTAACATAAAATGGACTGAAAACTGCCTGATTTGACTGATCTGTTTTTTATTTTTCAGGATATCATACCGTTCGGAAACAATCCAATATTCCGATACCTGTGTGGGTGGATGGTTCCACCAAAAATATCTTTTCTGAAACTCACTCAAGGGGAGACAATCAAACAGATGTATGAAAAATACCAGATTATCCAGGACATGCTGATTCCAATGAAAAATCTCAAAGAATCTTTAGACGTTTTTCACAAAGAGACCGAGGTTAGTAGATAATGAGCTAAAATTATATTGATATTGATGAGCCCAGTGAACAGGGCAGAGTTCCTAAAAATTTTTGTGTAGACTGGTTTGTGTTTTTAAAAAGATCTGGATGTGCATCATCTGATCAGTTTTATGAAAAGTTCTGAGATTTTGACACTTGGTTCGTTGTTGCAAAATAATTAACGATATTTCAAAATGGATTTAACAGTTAGAACCTAACGATAGCTGTCAGTCTAAATGTCACATGATTGTGAAATTCTTAACAATTAAGTGAGCAACATCGTAGAAAATCAGCCAATGTTGATTGAATGAAAAAGAGGCTTAAGTTCTAATCCAAAAACTTTGCTTGTGTGAATTCTTTAACAATATAATTGTTAATATTTTCAGGTCTATCCACTGTGGTTATGTCCCTTTATGTTGTATGATCAACCAGGTATGGTTCATCCTGCTGGTGGTCGAGATGAGATGTATGTAGATATAGGAGCTTACGGACCCCCTATAGCTAAAGGTTATGAAACTGTAACCACGACTAGAAAACTAGAGGCTTTCGTCACCAAAGTAAAAGGGTAGGAAAAAGTGAACTGTTGTTTTTTCTAATGAAGTAATGTGGCTATCCCTCAATAGACGAATGATAAATTGTGGTATAGCGAAATCCAAGAGGGGGTGGTATTGTTCTACTATGGATAAGAATTAGTTTTAGTTAACAGTTGATTTTTCTAGTGAAGTAACACGGCTATCCCACAAATAGACTATGAATTCTTGATGATAATGAATGAAGTATTGTGGGATAGGGAAATTAAACAGGTTGTCATATTGGGCTTTTATGGATTTTGCTAATTTCATAACGCAAGCTATTATGAAGTTACGAAAAAAAGTTACAGTCAAGGTATTAGACAAAGTTCAGAATAGCTTGACATTGTGTAGATGAAGTTAGTAATAGCTTGACATTGTAAAGATGAAGTTTGTAATAGCTTGACAGTGTGAAGATGAAGTTTGTAATAGCTTGACAGTGTGAAGATGAAGTTTGTAATAGCTTGACATTGTGTAGATGTAGTTTGTAATAGCTTGACAGTGTGAAGATGAAGTTTGTAATAGCTTGACATTGTGAAGATGAAGTTTGTAATAGCTTGACATTGTGAAGATGAAGTTTGTATTAGATTGACATTGTTTAGATGTAGTATGTATTAGCTTGACAGTGTGAAGATGTAGTTTGTAATAGCTTGACATTGTGAAGATAAAGTTTGTAATAGCTTGACATTATGAAGATGAAGTTTGTAATAGCTTGACATTGTGAAGATGAAGTTTGTAATAGCTTGACATTGTGAAGATGAAGTTTGTAATAGCTTGACAGTGTGAAGATGGGTTTCGCTTTCCTGTATTATGTCATTGGTGTCGAGAAACAGGACCTTCATGACAAGCTTTGATTGGTTAAGATAATGTTATTTAAACTGGAATTTGACATAGGTGTCAAGAAACGGGACCTACATGACAAGCTTTGATTGGTTATTTGAACAGGATTGAGATAGAATGCTGGTTAGATTATAAATGAGACAGAAAATATCTCATGTAAAGAAAGAAAATTGTAATATATTTTTGAATAAATTGTAGTAAAGCAGACTACCCTATGGGAAAGCAATGATATCAATAGCCAGGATACATAACTAGGACAGTTCGATTGATAAAATATGATATTAAAACTAGGTCAACGATCACCAGGGCGATAAAAATTAAGATTTTGTTATCAAAACTTTGATAATGTATCAAGATTCGTGTTGGACACAAAACAGACGTGAGAGATATTGTAATATTATCAGTTTAAAGTTTTTATCAAGTTAAAGACGTTAAAAGTTTTGATAGATAACTGTAGATTACTCTGTATAATTTATACTCAATGATATATCTATAGATACAAGCACCTGTTTAAATTATTCAGATAGTCGTTCATGGCACTTTCCTTTTGAATTTGAGATTACAGATAGATCACATCTGACTGAAACAATATTAAAACAGAACCTGAAACATGTTATTTACTCAGAACTTCAGACTGTGCTATTTTCAAGGTTGTCTGAAGATCGCATAGCATGAAACTCTGAATAACAACATGTTTCAGGTTCTGTTTTAATATTTTGATATACCCTCTACTATTTTAACAGTGGAAATAATTTTTTAATTGTACATTAATAAATATTGTTTATTTCAGGTTTCAAATGTTGTATGCTGATTCCTATCTAACAAGAGAAGAATTCTATGATATGTTTGATCATACTCTATATAATAAGATGAGACGAGAGTTAGATTGTAAGGCTGCGTTTCCCGAGGTTTATGATAAGGTTAACCGTAAAGTTAGATCTTAATTCAGTATGGGGCATTTATTTCTCATATTGCCCAAGTTTCACACCCATTTAAAATAAAATTTTATTTAGTCATAATTTAGCGCAAATTTTCACAGGTTTTCTTGCAAAATGCTCCAATGTGTGAATGGGTTGTTTACCAAATATGGTAATAGTTATGAATACCTGACAAAAAACACATGAATTTCAATCTTTTGGTAGAATCTAAGTAAATATTAGGGGTAAAGTTTCATTGAAGTTGTTTATTTAAGAGTAGGGTATAACTTGACATCCCTTTTCCTTAGTGAACTATTCCACATGCATGTCTAAATAGGTCGAAGTTTAGTATGCATATTTATGTATATGATCAATCTAATTAATTAGATTATAATTTCCTTTTGGTATTATTTTTTGGCTGGAGAGTGGCCCGTGATTGTCTGCTATAAATAGCTTGAAACGTCACCAGTACATGACCTTGATATAAATCTCGTTAGATTACTATGGAGACTGACAAAAACAATATTAACGAAACGAAATTGTAATTTAATTTGATTGGTATAAGATATTTTCATTTTAAAAGAGGGAAAAATTACTGCCAAAAATAACTTTAATGAAAGGAATATGGAAATGAAATGAAATGAATGAGTTTTACATCCTACTTTTCTGCACCATGGAAAAGAATATGGAAGTATGGAATTTGAATATTATTTATTCTATTTTGTTTTATTTTTGAGGTAACATATCGTAGAGAAAGTGTGAAATCCTTCGTAGTGAGTGTATCGTTAATTTCGTTATTATAATTAGTTTTAATCTTAGTGACAGATTAGCATTTTCTTTTTTTTACGGGTCAAATACTATGCTTTGCTTTTACCTTTAATATCTTACAGAAATCGTAAATCAAAAAATCCTCCAAAGAGAAGTACCATCAGGTGTTTCAAAAAGAGTAAGCATGGTCTGCTTCACAATACAATGTTTGATAAGCATCTATTCCAGCCCCTGATGGCTATATAAGTTGTCAGCTGGTGTAGAGACAGAAAAAATAGGCTATTTAAAATAGGGGCAGATGTTTTGGCCTTGATTTGGAGGAGTTGTTTCTAACTATGTCAAATAGAGACTTGCTATTGTTGAAAGTTTTAAGGTGATCTGTTGGTTTATTCATGAAAATAAAATCAACGAAACTTGGAGGTGGTATTTCCAAAGATAAGTTTTTTTTTCAACCTATGCACATTAGTAAAAATGGCACTAGTTTAATCCTATCTTGCCAAAGTCTTTTGTAAAATTCATTTAATTTTTTCCAAATTTTTTTACCTTTTCATAGATTTTTGTAGAATTTATGCAAATTGCTTTTTAAAATCGTATTCAAATTCACTTTGTTACATTACTGTAAGATGATTATCTATATTTGTATGAAATTGTTTTTTTCATTTCTCTACCTAAGATTTTTATTTCAAATATTCTTGTTTATTTGATGATTAATTATGGCAGTTTAATTAATGATTTAATTATGGCAGTTTAATTAATGATCTAATTATGGCAGTTTAATTAATGATTTAATTATGGCAGTTTAATTAATGATTTAATTATGGCAGTTTAATTAATGATTTAATTATGGCAGTTTAATTAATGATCTAATTATGGCAGTTTAATTAATGATCTAATTATGGCAGTTTAATTAATGATTTAATTATGGCAGTTTAATTATGGCAGTTTAATTAATGATTTAACTATGTATTGTTATGTTATTTAGTTTTTGTTGTATTTTGTGAATCAAAAGATTGATTGTGATTGTCTTTAAATGAGTAAAGTATGAAGAGACGAAGTAAGGTGTCTGGTGTCCGGTGTATGGTGTATGGTGTCTGATGTCTGGTGTCCGGTGTCTGGTGCTGTGAACGTTGTCTGTTCTGTTTAATGATCTATTATCAATAGAAAATAGAAGGAGCAAACACACGTGAGACAGGTTTACACCAAAGTTGTTTGAAAATAGATGAGATATGCAGTGTATTTTACTAGATTGTTGATATATATATTAAATAAAAAAAGTGAATGGGGTCCACATCATGTCCAGACCCACATGTATTCACATCTTCTATTTTTATTCTAGCAACAATAGGAGAAATCAACTTAGCCGTGATATACTAAAAATAAAACACATGTCTGACTTGAGTAGGACAATTGTTAGAACATCATGGCCGATATCTCCTATCCCACACCATACCTTGTTTTTTCCCACACTGTAGGGAGACAGTTTATGAGTTGATTTGTAATTAAGAGAAATATCAAAAATATCCGTGTAATCTTAGAATGAACATAAAATTTAAGTTTTCAAGAATGGTCATTATGAGTATATATTTATCAGTGAACTTACGTGGTGTCATAAAGTTACAACAGAATCCCTGTAAAATCTGGAAAATTGGAAAATTGGAAAATTCATAAAAGTAAGTAATTATTGAAAAACGCTTAATCTTGACATTTACCTTTTTTCAATAGTTAATTGCATATTTATGGATAATTACTAAGTTTATTGGATTTATCGGATTATATAAGGATCCTGTTATGTTATTTATGACACCAGGTATATCTACTGATCAATATATGCTTTTATTGGTCAAGTTTAAAATTCTTAATTTTTATGTTCATTCTAAGATGTAGTATTCCTTTTAGAGATATTTAAAAGTAGAAGTAATATTAGAAAATATAAACACCTGTCTTTTATTATTATCATATTTCAATACACATACAGGAATCTTTATTAAACTTTACATAATAATATTTTATATTTGATAAAGATTGCTGTATATAAATTGAAATGTAGCTAGTATTAAAGGAAATAGTAGTATATCTATAATAGTGTTTATATTTTCTAATTATCTTCGTTTATTAGTATTGTGATATCAAATTATTACCGGTGTTGTCTAAGTTCCCCCCCCCTCACCATGACTAGTGTGATCTAGAAATAAATATTTATATCATAACTGTGGTAATACGAAATGTGTCTATTTCGATGACAATATTTCTCCAAATCTTCAGTTTGATTTAAATGAATATTAGCTGACAGTGTCATCAAATGGATGAATGTTTAAGAGGCCAGTCTTTAGACCATAACTGAAAACTTTATAAAAAATAATAGCTAATAAAAAAACGGACTGAAAGTTTGGTTTATTTTTAATATGTCTGTTAAATCTTTATCAAGAAATATGAAAGTATAATATTAAATATATCAGTCTGTTTGTTTAATAATCTTGTTAATTTTATTTACCATACTTATCCTGTTGTATTTTTCATCCTTTTTTCACCTTAATTACAAATATGTATGTAATCCTAACATGATTGTACATAAAATGCAATGTTATTAACTTAAAAACCCCCATAACTTTTTCATCACTCTCACCTTTCAACATAATAGGTAGATTTAAATTTATTCCTTGTTGTTCTTTTTGTGTATGTAAGTGGTCTAAATACTTGCTTTACCAGCTGATAGAGCTTCATTTCAGCTATCTGTATAGTCATCTAAATATTTACTTTACCAGCTGATAGAACTCAATATCAGCTATCTGTATTGTCATCTCAATATTTACTATACCAGATGATAGAGCTCAATTTCAGCTTTATGTATAGTCATCTAAATATTTACTTTACCAGCTTATATATCTTAATATCAGCTATCTGTCTAGTTGTAAAGACATCTGAAATTGAGCTCTATCAGCTGGTAACGTAAATATTTAGATGACTATACAGAAAGCTGAAATTGAGCTCTATCAGCTGGTAAAGTAAATATCTAGATGACTATAAAGATAGCTGAAATTGAGCTCTATCAGCTGGTAAAGTAAATATCTAGATGACTATATAGATAGCTGAAATTGAGCTCTATCAGCTGGTAAAGTAAATATTTAGATGACTATATAGATAGCTGTAATTGAGCTCTATCAGCTGGTAACGTAAATATTTAGATGACTAAACAGATAGCTGTAATTGAGCTCTATCAGCTGGTAAAGTAAATATTTAGATGACTATACAGGTAGCTGAAATTGAGCTCTACCAGCTGATAAAGTAAATATTTAGATGACTATACAGAAAGCTGAAATTGTGCTCTACCAGCTGATAAAGTAAATATTTAGATGACTATACAGGTAGCTGAAATTAAGCTCTACCAGCTGATAAAGTAAATATTTAGATGACTATACAGATAGCTGAAATTGAGCTCTACCAGCTGATAAAGTAGATACTCAGACGACTAAACAGATAGCTGAAGTTGAGCTCTATCAGCTGGTAAAGTAAATACTAAGACGACTTTATTCCTCCCAGAATGAATGTTTATAGATATTTTAAGAATATAATCAACTAGTGTGAGAATGATATATTATAGTTCTATGATAATTTTTATTGTGGACTCTCTAGAATTCACAAGAAACTAAAGTAAATGACAGTTTAATTTTACTAAGGATGTTATTGACTGGAGCTTATCTCATGTGATGACATGTTTCAGATACACAATTCTCATCAGGACAGCTAGTTTAGAAATGGAAATTGACTTTCTAATTTGAACTTCATGTTAGCTAATTGACTACAGTTCATATCATGATTCGGATACACAATCCTCATCAGGACAGTATAAGGACTTTCAGTATATGAGCAAAATAAAGGCTCTCACTGATTGCTAGATGAAATAATTCTGCAGCTCTTGACATTTTTCTATTTGAAGAATTGAAGGAAATTCAGAGATGATACTCAAAATTAAACTCGAAGCTTTTAATGTTTCTAAAATTCTGAGAGAACCACATGTTAAACTTGGAGAACTGTGAAAGTGTGTTATTGTGTTAATGTTATTATATTATTATTGTAAAATCAAGCCAAGATATTTACTCAAAATTGGGTCTGATTCAGAATATTAACACAAGCAGTCCACTTTATTTAGGGACAGTGGGGGTACAGGGGGTGTACAAGGGTACCCCCTAGAAAATGGTTTGCAACCCCATTTGTACTCCTCTTTATTTTAACAAATTTAAAAATATGATTTTTATAAGTGTTTGTTCCAAAATATGTGCTGGAATGCACCAAATCAATTCAATATTTCGAAAATTTTCTTAGAAGAATCCTCTCAGACGGTCTATGAGAGGATTGCGACTATAACATCTTTGGCATTACCCTCTTTTTAGAAGTAGTAATCATAACAATGTAACTTTAGTCTGTATAGTTTCTATTACAATCCAATCAAATCACTGCATTCAAAAAACTTTCAAGAAACAAGATACGTGGCTATTGCAGTCAAGGTATTAGACCCAGTTGCTAATGACCTAAAACCTTAATGGACTGTTTGTGTTTTATGTTTTGAATTGAACCTAGATGAATACAATATCTAAGCTCTACTATATTTATGTGTTTAAGTGTTTTAAGATATTATTATTATAGTGTTGTATTATATCACAGTTTTATTGTGGTCTGATTTTTTTTCTTGTGACTTACAGTAGGCCCAACGCATTTTGTTCAGTTTTCAATCTTATGCTGTATACTATCGTAGTACTGAATGTTTCTATTAAATACTGATATTGCTATTTAGTTACTCAACACCAAAATGAATTTTGTTGATTTTCATTATTGCAAGTTTTCAAAATTACTTGTATATTTTTTGGCAGGAAGAGATATATTTTATCGTGTTTAGCTACTTCGTGTAAATCTTTACATCTAACAGTGGTTCACTGTTTGTTCTCTGTCTCTTATAATAAACGTTATAGCAATATTGTTAGTCAAACTAATATGTGTGCACATTAAGGGTTCAATTTAAAATATAAACATCAAAAAACGCAAACACTTTACTTTTGGGTAGTTGAAAAAAAGAACTTAACCCTGAGTATAAATAAAAACATCATATACCCTGAACTCCAAGTAATATGACTTAAGGTGTATGACGTTAACATTGTATGACATCACTTGGTAACAGCCAGTTAACTGACCGCTTGAGTATATATTACGTATTTACATGGCCGGTAATCTTGCCCTGGGGTTGTAAGGGTTAAAAATAAAGTGGACTGCTTGGGTTAATGTTTTGAATCAATCCTGATGTGCACCATTAGATCTCCTCTGTTTTTTTGGTTATCTGAGTCTTGTATTCTAGTTTTATTGATTCGTATTGCGGGTAATAATAACTCAAGCATATTATCAAACATTACTTTTCTTTCTCTCTCTCTCTCTTGTAGCTTGTTGATATTACTAATCTAATAAAAAAATAACAACAGAAATCTCTGTCTTTTTTTTAATCCTGAGAAGCTGGAAATTTTAGGTTGTAACATTGCTGTTAAGTAATGTTATGAAAGCACAGGCGAGAAGCTTGGGTGACTCTTTGCTATCCTTGAGGTCAGGGGCTATGAGGCATTGTTGAATCTTTCGGCCACAATTGTGAATAAAAGAATTGTCAAAGAGGGCTCACTTACAATTCTTTCCCTATGATAACAAAATTCAGAAGTAGGGGCCAAAGACGGGCCAACCACCAAGTTAAGGCGACACCCAAGAATTTTTTCAACCCATTTTCTCTCTGTCACCAATGCAGAGGTCAGGAATGAAATGAAATGAATGGAGTTTTACATGCTAATTTTCTGCACCATGTGGGCTAATGAAGATGGGCTACAGAGGTCAGAGGCGCTGACCAAGGAATTTGCTTCAGAAAATAAACCAAGTCTTCTGACTGTATTCCTAAAACTAAAAGTTACCATTTCATTAGCCAACATGGTGTAGAAAAGGAGGACGTAAAACTCCATTCATTTCATTTAATTTAAAACTAAAAGTTGTTATTGATGCTTCAACAGTTGGAAATTTAAAAAAGAGTAGGTTTATGTGCTTGTCCTAGCCAAATTTTTTTCATTGCACACAGAACTGCATCTAAAATCTTCCATAATAAAAAGATACCATTTCATTATCTGAAAATTTGAATTTGCCTCTAAAGTCTTCCATAAACCCGTAATAATATACAGGTAAAGGGAAATAACTCCAGTTAAGAATAAGTTTAGTTTGATTGGTTGAATGGAGGCGACAAACAAGTATGGCTGACATTGACAAAGTAATTTATGTCTGTCTGGAATAAATCGGTAATTCCTTCAAGATGAGTTCGAAATTCACACCAGAAATGGTGCACACGTTGAAAAATAAGGTCTATACAGCCGCCAGGGACGGCATGGCGATCAGCATCTTCGCTATGTTGTGGAATCTCGACAGAGAAATTGTAAACGAAGTACTGAATTTTTATACTGAAGAGGAAGGACAAAAAACAACACCCATAATCATAGCTTCAAGAAATGGCGAAGAAAAAGTTGTCCAGATTCTTCTCACGAATTTCAGTGTGGACATTGAACAAACGGGAACAGTTAAATTTGATGGGTACATTATTGAGGGGGCAACCTCCTTATGGTGTGCTGCAGGGGCTGGTCATTTCTCAGTTGTCAAATGTTTGATTGAACATGGAGCCAATGTGAATCATCCAACATTGACCAATTCTACACCATTGAGAGCAGCCTGTTTCGACGGTCGGCTGGACATTGTGAGGTTTTTGGTAGAGCATGGAGCAGACTTGACTATTGCCAATAAATATAACAATACGTGTTTAATGATATCGTGCTATAAAGGACATAGACATGTGGTTAGGTATTTGTTACAGAAAGGAGCCGATCCCGATTGCAAGGCTCATTGTGGGGCTACTGCTCTTCATTTTTCAGCCGAATGTGGACACTTAGAAATAGTGAAAGAATTGATAGAATTCGGAGCGTCCATGCCTAAAAACGATCATAATATGACTCCATTGATCGTAGCAGCCGAGTGTGGGAAATTGGAAGTTGTGGAATATTTAGTTTCTTTACCAGAATGTTCACGAGAGGAAAAAATTGATGCATTGGAACTTCTTGGAGCAAGTTTTGCCAATGATAAAGAAAATTATGACATTTCCAAATCCTATCATTACTTGTATGTGGCCATGCAAGAGCGTTTTAGAGACAAACATCATATAGTAGAAAAACCTAAATTCCCTCCGATATCTGCTTACAATAACAGAGTTGAGAGTAGAACATTAGAAGAGCTTGCCAAGATTGAAAAAGATTTTGGAGCTCTTCATATGGAGTCGCTAGCAATAAGAGAACGAGTATTAGGATCAGATAATCCAGAAGTGCCCCATCCTGTGATATTCCGGGGTGCCGTATTTGCCGACAGTTCGCGATTTGATCGCTGTATTGCCTTATGGATGCATGCCATGAAATTGAGACAGAAAAATAACCGAACAATTTCTAAAGATTTGTTAAGATTTTCCCAAGTTTTTTCTCAAATAGTCCATATTGGGGTGAAACTAGCATTTTGTGATATTGAAGAAGTGTTTGAACATGCGGTGATAGAAGTAGCTAGAGATATAGAACGTGTCAAAACAGATGAAGATGATCGTGATGCCTTACAAGAAATTTATCAATCGAATATTCACACTTGTTTATATTTATTAGTTATTGCGTTAAAAGTTTGTAAAACACCAGTCGAAGAAGAAAACCTTTACAAAGTAGTGTACAAATTTTTGAAACATAAACCCACTTTGAAAAACGGTTACACCCCTTTACATATGGCTGTGGATAGTGCAACTTTAGTGGACGATTTTCATGTCAATGACGTAGTTACCTTTCCTAATTCCGGACTTGCGGCCATGTTGATAAAATGTGGGTCTGATGTAAATGCGCTGGATTTTATCGGAAACTCTCCGCTTCATGTGATAGTGCGTTATACCAACCCGATTTCCGACTTCGATACTTTACATCAGATTATGTTATCTCTCATTCGAGGAGGAGCCCATATAGATATTCGTAATTATGAACGAAAGACTCCGATGGAATGCACCACTACTGGCGTAGCTGAAGTTATTATTCGCCAACATTATAAGATTTCGTTAAAATGTTTGGCTGCCCGCTCAATTACTGACAATAACGTCAACTTTCAAAATATGATTCCCGCCATTTTGGAAGATTTCATTCATTTACACTAATTTAAGAAGATTGTTTACAAAGTTTACCTGATACCCCTAGAGGCTTTATTGAACTGTCCCAAACATGCATTATTTTACCTTACATGAGATGTTCCATTATTCTGAAAGACAGATTTGCATTTATCTCTGCCTCTCCCACAATCAGACCATCTATCTGTGCCTGAAGATAGGGTCAGTGTTTCTCGGACTAGGTCCTGACCGTCATAACAATGTCCAGCTATTACAAACTTCGTCTTATACCTTGACTGCAATAACCATCTTTTGTATCACGGAATTCAGCAATTTTATTGGATTGTAAGCTAGCAGGTAGGGCCAATTAGAGCCCTTGATATAAAGTCTGTAAACAATAAGCCATAATGTTTACAAATTGTCTGTCGAGGTTTCTGATTGGCTGTATTCACTAATGTAGAATCCAATCTAAGTACTGCATTCTGTGAGGATATGAGAAAGGTGGCTATTGCAGTCAGGGTATAAGAGTTTGTTATAGCTTGACATTGTGAAAAAAGAAAGAAACAGCTATATTTTACAAGGATAACAATTTAGGTTCATAGTTAAGGATCCTTTATACCAGCTGGTCCTTGTGTCAAACCTTTTGGCTTTTTTTTTGGATTATCCTTACCCATACAGCTGGGTCAACTGGAATTATGAGTGAAAATGACGAGGATGAGACCTGACAAGACCTTGAGTCTTTCATTTAAACTCAGCATGGAAGTTTATTATTTCATTCGTATTATTGACGTGTCAAATTATTTTTATCCATAAATTATGTCAATGAAGAATACTACTTGTTTAAAGAGATAGTAAAGAGGTTTTCTTAAAGTTTTATGTGTATCAGGGACACTGATAGCATCAATTTGCACCATTCCAATTTTCTATCAGACGTCAGACGGTACCTGCAATTCCACTAAAACTAAGTGTTTGATGAAGTCACTAAATGCGAAGGTACTTATGTGATAAAGCATAGTGAAGTTATCAAACACTTAGTTTTAGTGGAATTGCAGGAACCACAAACGTCTGATTGAAAATTGGAATGGTTCAAATTGATGCTATCAGTAACCTGATACACATAAGAATTTTAGAAAAACTGGTTACTATCCCTTTAAATTGATTGTCCGTTTTGAAATCATCAATCACAGTAGTCAATGGCACTGTTTGTTTTTGGTTTTGTTTTTGTAATTCATTGATTGTTTTTGAGTTTTTATAACCAACTTCTTGCACATGTATTATCATGTATTAAATTGTGCCAAAAATTGTTATATTTGCATCTATATTTGCTAATTATGTAATTGATAAAAGCTTTACCTCATCCAGTCTATATGTGTTTTAGATTTGTATATTATCTAGATCTCAAACAGGTAACGGCCCATAGGCTACAGTCTGTGAACATTTAAAGGGGAAGGTTTGCTATTCATTTGACAAATCATACCCTCGTGTCAGAAACAGGAATAAATCAGTAATAGTGTTCATAGCTCACTGTCGAAATTTGAGCCTTCAAATTAATGGTAACAAAACACAAGACAATATTATGGAATTTCGTAATGAATTGTTGTTCAAATCTTACATCAAATCAATGGTGCTTACAGAATTATCTGCATAAGAAAGTGAAAAAGACGCCTCATATTTTCTGAACTTGAAGGATCAAACGATCTACTGTGATCTTTCTGCTAGCCTCTGCTCAGATTCAGCTTTACAGAAATGTCCAGGACTTCCGAATACCTGAAGGATATCTGCATAGTTGATCAACATAACTAGATGTAACAGTTATCATTATCTGTTATCTTTAAATCTTCAGAAGCTTGGTAGGTGGAGGAAATCTGGAAAATAAAATCAGTAACTTTCTTGTAAATAACAAAGAGAGTTAGATGCAGCAATGGTGGAATGCAAAAATAGTCCCATTTCATCTTTAAGACCATTTTGCATGTAAATCTATTTTATTTATTCAAATTTTTGGGGGAAAGATACTCCTTAAACCTAGCATGGTTTGTCCTATTCTTTCAAACCTGACAATCGCCCCTCCACCACCCCATTTTGAAATAGGATCGTTTGATAATGGTATATTCCTATGAGAGCTTATATAAGCTCAGTTACTATGGTGTATAAAACTGGAAGTGAATACAGGGACATAACTCCTCCATGACTACTTTTATTACCAGCTCTCTAGAATAGAAGGAAGATAAAGTTAGAAGTCAAGTTGACAAGTGCACGTTGTTTTCAAATGAAATAAGACGAAAACAGTAAGTATGGGTGAAAGATTTAGGAGAGGAACTGTAGGGGTGTTGAATTCAAACACCCTTCTCAATGACGCACTTTGTTTAATTCATTATCCATTCTAAGATTTTGAGAAATTCGCTATTTATTTACTAATTCTTCAAAAGAGTTATCCCCCTTCCCCTTAAAACTTGGAAGTTATTACATGAAACTTTAAACAATAGTCACTTTTAAAATATTTGCTTTACCAGCTGATAGATCTCAACTATGGGTAAATAAACTGGGGCCCATCATGTGCTGCCCAATATAAATACCCTACTACAGTTGGAAATCAAAAAAGTATGCCAATGCTGCTCTCCTAGCAAAATTTCACACATTGCACACTGCAATGGTTATGTATTCATTAACCTTATCATGTGTTCTGTCTTTATTAACCTAATTAGGTATAGAAAAGCCAAAACTTTTCACTTCATTTATGATGTATTATCCAGTAAACATGTTGCTTCAATAGAGACAGTCTATGTCAGTTGTCTGATTGTACAGCTGCAATCTAATAATATATTACAATTTCGATTCGTTATTTTTTTTCATGTCAGCCTCCGTTGTAATCTAACGAGATTTATATCAAGGTCATGTACTGGTGACGTTTCAAGCTATTTATAGCAGACAATCACGCGCCATTCTCCAGCCAATCATAATCACTTTTGCAAGCGACAATGGGCAGTCTCGTAATCTCCAATAGTAATATTCAGACCAACTGTAACTAATACTAATATAAATGAAGATCTAAAGATCTGAATGCGACATTGGTCATATCACTAGTCGATATTTAGACATGGATTCTGCATGGCATTCTGTGATGGGTTGAAATGAAAATCAACAATACAAGACCTCTTAGAAATTTTTTTACATTAGAAAGGAGACCAACAAAAAAATAACGAAAGGAAATTGTAATCTAATTTCAATAAGATTGGTACAGCTACAACATGTTTCAGGTTCTGGTATTTCTATTTCTTTATTTCTATTTTATTTTTTTATCCAGTAAAAATGAGGCTGACGACAGCAGTATGTGCAAACTATTATCAGAAGTTTATAAAATGGATAGTTTATGATAATTCTGGATACACACTACGTAGACAGCTGTCAAAACCACGAGAGATCCGAAAGAAACATTGGTATTTCGGCCATTATAAACCCTGGACTACTGAGGGGATAACAGCTGGAAAGGTTGGCAGCAATAGTTTAGTGGAACCACTGGAAGAAAAAGACAGGAAGATATTTCTTGGTGACAGGGTAGGTAATAATACTAATAATAATAATATCACAAATTCCCATCAAAAAGGGAAAACATTAAAAGTATAAGGCTAATTGCCTTCTTCTGATACACTTCAGTAACTTATGATCATATTTTTTCCGTCTTTCTTTTACTTATATAAAGTTAAGAATGATAGGAATTAATCAATCTGAATTGTTTCTGAAGAAGGCAATTAGCCGTATATCTTCAATGAGCATCAAGATAAGATCTTGAGTACCCACTGATAAACCTGTCTTCCATTCTGACCCTTATAGACAATACAACAAAAACACACAAAAAAACCAATAAATTCATTCTTGTATTTTCATTTCACTTCATAAACAGGCATTTATCAAGTGGCAAGTCTAAATCTAAAATATTGTTGATCTCTAAAAGGAAAAAAAATTAATTGAATGATAAAGATTAAGAAACTCTTTCATTCTTGATTAAACGTGGAAAGAAACAAATTTTGAATCAATTTCAAATGTTATAATATCATTTACATACAATTATTCAATTTGGTTACCATGCCAACAGTTTTATTTACATCTTAAATTCTAGTTTCTGATTTGATGCTGAATTGTGAAAACAATTTTTAACCAGTCTGGTTTCCCCCTGCCCTATCAGTTATGCAGGTGAAAAGACTGACATGAAAAAGGGAATGGAATAATGCATGAAGGTTGTTCGTTCGAGGCTTTTTGTACAGATTCAGAACCCTTTGATGGTTGGAATTGAAATAAAAAACAGGCCATACCAATGTGATTGAAATTTCCCTGATTGCAAACTGATTGCCTTGCCTTTTCTGAGACTGTGTGTGCAGATTCAAGATTCTTCCATAGTTAGAAATATTAAAAAAAAGAGCCACATACAAATGTGATTGAAAAATTCCTTCATTGCACTCTGATTACCTTGCCGTCTTTATAATCATTATAACTAAATTCAGAAAAGTAGGACGTAAAACTCATTCATTTCTTTTGTTTTATTTCATTATTAAAGTCATTTTTTCTCGTTTTTTATTTTAATTTTTTATATACCAGTCAAGAAGAAAATAAGAAATGGGTCAAAAATTTTCATAAAAACCCTGACTGGCAAACATAACAAAATCAACATCCTCTGGTCCATCCTCAAAATGTCAGGTTATTACAAACTTTGTACTTATACCTTGACTGTAATTGCTACCTTTCTTGTATTACATCTTCACAATGTCAAGCTATTACAAACTTTGTACTTATACCTTGACTGTAATTGCTACCTTTCTTGTATCACATCTTCACAATGTCAAGCTATTACAAACTTTGTACTTCTACCTAGACTGTAATAACCACTATTCTTGTATCACATCTTCACAATGTCAAGCTATTACAAACTTTGTACTTCTACCTAGACTGTAATAACCACCTTTCTTGTATCACATCTTCACAATGTCAAGCTATTACAAACTTTGTACTTCTACCTAGACTGTAATAACCACCTTTCTTGTATCACATCTTCACAATGT